TTGCTCCTTTAGCCAGTGGCAGATGAGTTTGTCTCCTGCGTGCACAATCCAGTAATGCTTCAAGAAATGTGTCGGTGTCGTGCCTGCACGCGGCTCAGTGGAAAATCTGATCTTCTCCTGGCTGTCGAGATGTTTTTTTCATGACTATCAAGACCCGTGTGGATCTTTATGTAGCGATGTCACGGGATTGATACTTGAATTAAGATTTTTTGCCAATACTATATGAGCTTATATCATTAATATTTTTACTAGTTGAAAAAAATGTAGTCCATTTGCCCTAGTAAACATATACTGATTTCCACTTGTTTGTACAGGTCTGTGTTGCATAGTGTGTGGTTCCACCCATGTTGGATAAATCCACAATCACTAGGTATTAACTCAGGAATCTTGCAATATTTGCAGTGTACCTGAATAAATAAAAGCGCAGCACCGCTATTGTCATGACATATTTGGACAGGTGTGTGAAATTCGAAATAGATGAGGTGTTTATAATGACCTCAGACCATTAAATCCTTTGTATTAGTAAAAAAAACACAGGCCAAGATAAGCTAGATGACCTCAAGGAAATAATCCTACATGTTTAAAGTTTAACCAATCATGGGCAGACCACCCACAAAAATATGATGCATTAAACCCAAACTGAGGTCAACCATATCCCATAAGAACAATTAAATCCCACTATCCTCCTGTGAGCCGAATGAAATGAGTTCGATGCAGATTTTTAACATGCAATGCCGTCTGGAGAGCAGCGCTCGCCGTTTTGCTCAAATTCGGATGCGAGTGAGAATTTTAGGGCACACGAGAGGGAGTTTTAAAGTAGCCGTGAATCGGCGGACATCTTCCCGAGAGGATGTGTCTGTGGATGTCATCAGAGGCGAGCCGGGAGGCAGACTGAGCCAAGGTCTGGAATACAGATCCCCAGGACAGCGTCACTGCCCAGCTGTCTGTCCCTGCTCACAAATCCACATGACAGGCAGGATGCTGTCCATTTGTCATGAAGATGCAGACACATACTGTGTACAACCAGCTGGCCGTCGGTCCTGAAGCATCCATTAACCAACCACGGTTCAATTATGGTTCAATGTAGTTGACTGGGACTTGATGTAGGTTAACACAGTGTATGAAATGTATGGGAATCAAAGGGGAATAGCAGGTAGCAAAAGTACTTATAGGTACACCTAACAATATAATGTAATCAAATACAACCTTAAAAAATGACCATAGAGTTGACTTTTTGGCACTTTCAACAAAAAAAAACAACATTATAAGCTTAAATTACTACAATATTTTGGACTGGAAAACTTTGTAAATAAAGAGGAACTTGACAAAAAAATCAAGTACCAAAGGTTCATTTCAGCCAGTTCCTGTTTGCATTTTCACAGCATCTGAACAACGAAAATTAGACAAATTAGACTGACAAAGGTTTAAAAAGTTTGAGCTGCAGTTTTGGCAAGTAACCGTGGCCTCTCTGCAAAGTATCGAGAATCTGCTGAGTGATTTTTTTTCCATTGTTTTTTCCATAACCACATTTAAATATTTACCAAATTAAGTTAAGCTGAGCTACTTCTCTCTTTTACTATCTTTATCTTGCTCTTATTTAAACTCCATAACTTTGTTTAAACCCCAAAAACAGTACAAGAAATTCACATTCAAAGTAATATTGATACTAGTGACAACCAGGGCTCAGATGCAGTCACGCAAGGCTTGTGTTTAACCAGCTTGCAATGCTGCACTGCTAATTCCACTCCGATAGTTCCTGGTTCACCAGAAAGTACATAGGCATTGACAATTTATGGGGGGTAGGAACAACAAACCAGGAACCACTGAAGCTTCCTGTGGTTGAAATTCAGATAACGTTCCTAGTATGGTTCCTGGAAAAGTTACTGTGGTGGAAAAGGGCAAATTTGATCCGGTATATTTCCTATTTGAACAACTGGCAAGTTCCTGAGTTCCTGTAAAGGTTCCTGGGTTTTTGGAAAATGTCTTACATATTAAAAGTAATACTACAAACACCAAAACTGATATATTTCCTTTTGGAATACAAATAGTACCTCAAGAACCGTTTCGACACTTTGTAAATGTTTTGTTATGACAACTTACTTGAGAAAATTGAAAAACAGAGATGAATTCATCCTAGACTTGCTTTTATCATCACATGACTATTAATCTCAAACATACAGAATGATCTTTATTTTGAAAGATGATAACTTTCAAAATAAAGCCCATAAAGCCTGAGATAGTGGGACAGCTGTAAGTGACATCATACTCGTGACTACTTGAAATGCTTTTAGTGATGATTATCAATCCAACTGAGCTCCTCGAGACTGGACAAGATGAAATTGGAGGGGTGTTGAGGAGACACAGATAGCATCAGAGAACAGCACTCAGTGTCCCAGTGTGATCGGTCAGCCTCGGGAATCAGATTCTACGCCCTGGCTCCGCCGTCTCACGCCATCAGTGATAGGATCCAGCCACCACTTCTCACAGCTGCGTCTTCAGACGCGGCAGCAATCAGCGCACATCTGTCAGGAGGGCCTCTGTGTTTACACAGGGCTAACCGTACATTGTCAGCCCCAGCGCCAAACCCCCTCAGGTGGCCGGTTTGAAGCTACGGCGTTCATCTGATGAAGAAGGCTAGCGACTGCTGCCCAAATGCTGGGAAGATCATTTTGACACATTTTTTCCTTAACGTCCAAAAACATGATAGTCCATGGAAACTCCTATTCATTGATGATAAAAGCTGGTGTGGTTATGGCACCATCATGATGAACCCTGAACCTTTTGATCCATTTTCTTATTCCCACAAATATCTTGTAAATATAATGTGACATTATGTCATTTCCAGCACAGATGCAGTGACAACTAATGGAACAAATGAATTTCAGTGATCTAAAACAGCAATGGTAAAGATCAGGATATAATGTTCAAAAGGAAACACTGAAGAGTCATACAGCAAGAAAGTCATTATAGTAGAAGAGAGACCAGCGTCTCCACAGACAGTGGCCTCAAAGGTCCAGATTGCAATGCAGCCACGACGCATGCTACGTTTAAAAGGGGCATTCCAACACTTTAACACATTAATTTTGGTTTACTGGTCGAAGGGGAACTCCAGTGATTTTACACATCAAAGTCTGTTTACAGTTGTTGGGGAGAACTTCTGCATATGTGAAAAACATTTGTATAAAGCCGTTTGAGGCTCCGGGGGGGGGGCTTTGTGAAATCAGATAATTTGTCTCAAGTGGTCTCATTTGAGTCATCGTCGGTTGGGACTGAAAACTACATGTTTAAATATTCAAAAAATCTGAGGGTGTGGACATAGAAAGAAGTCTCGGCTCGAAGCTACATTAGCCGCTACTAGCATCATGCACACGAATTGCTGATCGGTGTTCAAATTGAAATGTAGCGATAAGGTTTTGACAAGAAAGAAAAAAGAAGTTACCTCTGGTTCTGCTGCATCGGTTGTGATCTCTTCTTAACTGTCCATTGTGAGTCTGAGAATGTTATTGGAAAGCGACGCTAAATCAGTGGAGTACTCTTTCAAAGGGCAGTACTGCTCAGCCTGTGAAAACAGCTGTATAATGTCTTATGTGGCTCTGAAGGGTCCTTGAGAGAGAAAATAACCCAAGGGTTATCTGAGCTTGGGTTTGGAGACTACAGTGTTTTCACAGAAAGCCTGCTCTAAAAACTGGGTGCATGGAATTTGAAAGATGTTGTCATTACCAGACAGGGAGGGTCTAATGAAAGGATGCTCTAGGGTGCATTATGTGTAGGATCCAACCCTACTAGGGCCTAGATTATTTATTATAATCTCATGTCACGCCGGTGAGTTTCCCTGTAATGAAATATGCTATATAAATAAAATTGGTTCACATTACCTAAAGGTTTGGATATCTCAGCCTCTGCTGCTTCAATTGTGACTATTAGTTTTATCAATCTGTCTCATGTGAAACCTCCAACTTCATGGAAGTGCAATACTAAATCCCTTGAATACCCCTTTAACATGCTAAGCTAGTTTTTCCTCTTTCTATCTTGGTTTTACTAACAGGATCCCCATGAGCTGCCCTCTCCTCCTCTGTAAAACCCAAAGATGACAGTACATTCATAGCGGGCATGTTTTTTTTTATAGTTGTCAAAGGTCAATCTGGAAAATGTAGGAAATTAAAAGTGCATGGAAGGAAAGTACAGCAAAAAGGTAAATGACAGTTTTTATTGCAGTGTTATTCCTGGAATATATCACTGATAATTTAAAAAATTCTTCTTTTAATAGAAGATGGTAAACTCTATTGCACATTCAAGATTGGCACTGAATTTAGCTTTTTTCTGAATTTAGCTTTTATGAATTTCATCGCTTCAGAGTAAAAGCCTTAACACTGTTTAAAACCTACTGTGTTACCTACTTATTTTATCCATGAAAACCAACCAAACATTTTCTCCATACAGATCACATTAGACCAGGTCTACCTCAAAAGCCACTGTACTTACATTTAAGACAGATTTAACAAGATGGGAAATAAGAAAACAAAAACCTCACACATACGTAGTTTTACCTCGTCAGATCTCAGAAACATATGAAATGAGAGCCTTAAGCAAGTGCTATACTTTCCGCATCCGCGAGTACGCGAGGGTCCGCTTGACAAAAATATCATCATCAGAGGGTGTACGCGTAGGTTCTGACATCCACGTGCCTCCCATTTTTTGGGACCAATCGATCTACTGCACATGTGTGGAAGAAGTCTGCCAAGCTGACTCCAGAAAGTAGTATAAACAAAAGTAGACTGTGTCCGTGGCGTCCTCAGCAGTCCCTGTACGCTTTGAAGTATATTCAAGGCTTTAGTTTTACAGGGTTATAAATCAAAAAACTATGAATCACTGTAATTTAAAAAATGAACAGTTCAAAACACAAAGGGTAACTTTTTTGTGTCATCAGGAACGAACTGTTATTCTCTTTTCTCTCTTCACTCTTTTCACATCTATCTTGTCCTCCTTTCATTCACGTTTAGATTCCAGCACACGGACTCTGAGCACCCCCAGCCCTGGTCTTATCCTACCATCCAAGTCCTCCTCTCTCTCCTCACCTGCCCTCTCCAGTAATGGCCATGAGACCAACTCCTCTTCCTCCTCCTCTGCCCCCGCCGAGACCGTCGCCGTGGTCCACTCTCAACCCGGCACTCACACGCGCTCCCGCCAGTCGAAAAGCCACCACCACGCCCCAATTGACCTCCTCCCCGACCACGCCCTTCTGCAGATCTTCTCCCATCTCCCCACCAATCAGCTGTGCCGCTGTGCACGCGTGTGCCGCCGCTGGTACAATCTGGCGTGGGATCCGAGGCTGTGGAGCACCGTCCGGCTAACGGGAGAGCTGCTTCATGCCGACCGTGCCATCAGGGTCCTGACCTACCGGCTGTGCCAGGACACCCCGAACGTGTGTCTGACCCTGGAGACGGTGATGGTGAATGGCTGCAAAAGGCTCACCGACCGGGGGCTGCACGTGGTGGCTCAGTGCTGCCCGGAGCTGCGTCGCCTGGAGGTAGCCGGCTGTTATAACATCTCTAACGACGCTGTGTTTGAGGTGGTGTCCCGCTGCCCCAACCTGGAACACCTGAACCTCTCAGGTAAAAAGAAATATACTTGAAGCCAAAGCCATCCTACCTTGATTGGTGGCCAATGGTAGGCTCACTCAGTTTTATTAAGGAGTGCCTGCTACCCTACATCACGCACATGTGTGGATTTACCTCAAAGAATTCCTCTTCTCAGTCATTTCTACTCAAGCTGGTGAAATCATTATAGGAGAAGCAGAAGCTCTGCCAACCTTAAGCTCCCATGTGGGAGAAGAAAGGCTTTCTTTAGCTGAAAGCAGAACTTACCTCAACATGAGTAAGGAGAGCGGTCTGCTGCTTTCATTAAGGAAGTGACACAAATAATATTGACTTGGACGGGACTCTGGTGGCAGAGCAATGCCTGCACCATTAGCACCAGGAAGTAAGCCCTTTGTTGTAAAAATAGGCCTTAAAAAAAAAACGTATGGCTTTTATTTGAAAGGCACAAAATAATGAAATCAACTGCTAAGGACATCAACCTTTGATTTATTTCCCCCTGAAAATTTACCACAGTTTTGTTTTTCTTGGGAGTTGTTTGCACATGCTTCTAGTTGCATGCACGCAGCCAAATACAGCAGGTTTTACTCTGGCGCCTCCAAGTGGCCACTCATTTTTAAGCTTAGCCTTCAAAAGTGAAATTGTCATAAAAGATAGGTTCACATCAAGTCAGTCTTTAAACAATACTCACGTGCCCTCACTTGTTGTATTAAGGCAGGCTTGAGAAACTGTGAACTTAAAAAAACAAAGCTTCTTTGGAGAAATAATTAGATTGTGAGCTGACAACCTGTGCTTCCTCTTCCTCCAGGCTGCTCCAAGGTGACATGTATCAGTCTTACTCAAGAGGCCTCACTCCAGCTGTCCCCTCTACATGGCCAGCAGATCTCCATTCACTACCTGGACATGACCGATTGTTTTTCCCTCGAGGATGAGGGTTTGCGAACTATCGCCTCCCACTGCCCCCGCCTAACACACCTGTATTTGCGTCGCTGCACCAGACTGACGGATGAAGCCTTACGCCACCTGTCTCTCTACTGCCCTGCGATAAGGGAGCTAAGTCTTAGTGACTGCCGCTTGGTTGGGGATTTCGGCCTGCGTGAAGTCGCCCGCCTTGAGGGCTGCCTGCGCTACCTGAGTGTGGCCCACTGCACCCGCATAACTGATGTGGGCATGCGCTACGTGGCTCGCTACTGCCCAAGACTGCGCTACTTAAACGCCAGGGGTTGCGAGGGGCTGACAGATCACGGCCTGAGCCACTTGGCCAGGAGCTGCCCCAGACTCAAGTCTCTGGATGTGGGTAAGTGCCCGCTTGTGTCGGACAGCGGACTGGAGCAGCTGGCTATGTACTGCCAGGGCCTGAGGCGAGTGAGCCTCAGAGCCTGCGAGAGCGTAACAGGCAGAGGACTCAAAGCTCTGGCGGCCAACTGCTGCGAGCTGCAGCTTCTCAACGTGCAGGACTGCGAGGTTTCGCCAGAGGCTCTGCGGTTTGTTAGACGCCACTGCCGGCGCTGTGTCATCGAGCACACAAACCCCGCTTTCTACTGAGACAGGAAGTTCTTGGACTGGTCCTCTGACAAATGGATGTTTTAATATTCCTGCTGCGGAGTTGGCAGAGTTCAGCGGCTGATGTGTCAGAACTGGTTGAAAACTGGTGTGCAATATGGGCCAGAATTTGTCTCTTTAAAACCGCTCGGTGGCTGTTACCGCTGTCCTTTGAAAATACTTCCATAGAATGTATTTAACATATTTATCTGTAAAAAGGTAGAGAAGTGCAGTACTTCAGCATATTACTTTTTTCAACACCACAATTTACCATGTAACAACATGCTTCAACACTGAGCACTGGGTACAGTTGTGTTACCATTTAAAAGCATTGCAATATATTTTATTTGAAAGGTCATCACCTTAAGGCCCTGAAACATAACCATTATCATACCTTACTACATCTATTTATAAACAGCAAGTATCTTCAGACGAAACCACTAAGAATGTAGCTACGAAGCAGCAACTAAAGCAGATCTGGTGATTAAAGATATCTTCAGTTTCACTTGCTTTATGTTTTGTGCATATGCACTTTAGGCAGTAGTGCTGACAATCACTTCAACTGAGCTCAAAGTGTCATCATTTGCTAAGAACTGATTTGCTGTAAATTAAAAGTTACTATTAGCCAGAGGACTTTTACCGCCAAATACAAACAAACTGTTATGGGATCGTTGTTGAAAATAAATAAGAACACATTGCTGCTACAACTGTGCCAATAAACTTCTTCAAAATCTGCCGCCACAACTGTGAGTGTTTTACTCAAACCCTCATTACTGTCTTAAAGGATTTATGCCTGCACATGTTGGTGAGTCATTACAGTAACCGAGGATTATCTTGGAATGCAATATATGGATTTGTAAAATGTATTCCTCTTTAAAAAATGACGTGTGTGGGTTCTACAGGGCAGCAAAAGGTGTATCCTGCTTTCAGGCCATTGGCTGAATTAAACCTGCTTGTAATTTGATGCGCACCTGTCTGTCCAGCCCGAAGCTATCATTCAGATATATACTGTATACTTTGCACTTTGGTTATAAGATTGTCTGTAAGTCATTATTGCTGCAGTTATATTTCCTGTTTCTGTTTAAAAGTATTGCTATCTGGCAAATGTGAGTTGGGTTTGTTTTTACTAGAGATTATTTTTCAGTCTCAAAAGGAGGCATCTGTCAGCTATGGGAAACCTTCTCCCCCACCTGCTCCTGATTGTTGCGCTCCTGCGGTGTTCCTTGGCTCAAGCAGGCAAGTATCTAACATAATCACAACACAAAGCAAAACAAGAATATCTCCAAAATAATCTGAACTGCTAATGAATCAATTTAGATCTTGAAATCAGTTTTGTAGGAGGTAGATGTGCAGCTGCAAAAACATTCTGTGCTTCTTTGTATAACAGAGCTCTGTAACTCAATGCACCTCTCACTCGAAGTTACAAACTCAAAAACTACAACTCCAATTTTCATGGGATTTTCCCAAAACAACAGCCTTTGCCTTTGTTTCTGTCCTGCTGTTATTACAGAGATATCTGAAGTAAACCGCACACCTCTACTTGTGTCTTATTTTCGAGCCATGACATTTTATCCACAATTGTCTAAGGATTATGGGAAATTGTGTTCATTAAACGCTGCAAAAAACTGAAATATTGAATGAATAACACAACATACAGTTCAGAAAGGCTTCACTTCAGCTCCTTTATACTTGCAAAACTAATGACATTCCCATCAACCTCAGCTCTACTTTGTTTGTTTTCTACTTTGCATAGCTGTCGAAGTCTGGAAAACCTTCCCTGTTAAATGACCCATCAGTAGAATCACCTTTACCTTAATGTGTAGTGACCCACTTGTTCTGTCTCTGGGGACCAACTACCAGTTAGCCTACTACACATGCATACATGTTTCAAAATGAATTAAAAGGAGCTTTAAAACAATTAATAGAAATGTTTTAAACTACTCCAATGAAGGTTAAAGTCAAAGGCAACTGGACTTGGTTGAAGATACTGGAAGACGTTTCATCCCTCATCCAAAGGACTTCTTCAGTTCTGACTGACTGGTAGGGAAACTCAGCTATTTAACCTCAGTGGGGTCTTTTTGCCAGGATCGTCGATACTGCTGGTTGGTTAGTAAAAAAAAAAGGCCATAGAACGTCTACAACAGCTACAGAAAGACAACACCATCAACTGTGAACAATATTACCGTTTGTATCCTGGAGAAGCCATTCCATGCATTTATGGACTATCCAAGATGCACAATGAAGGAGAATCACTCAGGCCGATTATCAGCAGCATTAACTCGTCACCTACAACATTGCCAAACACATTTCTGCCATCTTAGCTCCTTTGGTGGGAAACACGCCTCACCACGTCCAAAACTCTATTGACTTTGTAAACAAAGTTGAAACTATGGTAACCTATGACGTGACTTCTTTGTTCACCTGCATCCCCACCATAGAAGCAGTTGAAACCGTAAGGAAACGGCTAACACAAGACAACACCCTGGACAACAGAACTAGCCTCAGCCCCGACCACATCTGTTAATTACTCGACTTCTGTCTAAACACCACCTATTTCCAGTACAACGGAGGATTCTACAGACCGAAGCATGGCTGTGCCATGGGCTCACCGGTATCCCCGATTGTGGCAAACATCTACATGGAAGAAGTGGAGAACAAAGCCCTCAACTCCTTCAGAGGAACAGCACCGAGCCACTGGTACAGATATGTGGATGACACCTGGGTCAAAATTAAAAGCCAGGAAGTGCAAGCCTTCACAGAACACATCAACTCTGTGGACAGTAACATCAAGTTCACACGAGAAGATGTTCACAACAATAGTTTTGCCTTCCTGGACTGCGCTGTACACATTGAAGAGGACAGGAGTCTGCAAATTGGCGTTTACAGAAAACCCACACACACAGACCAATACCTACTCTTCGATTCACACCACCCACTGGAGCACAAGCTAGGGGTCATGAGAACACTGCACCACAGAGCGGAAAACATACCAACAAGCGCCAAAGCCAGAGAGAAGGAACAGAAACACCTGAAGGGGGAACTTACAGCCTGTGGATAACCTAAATGGACCTTTGTGAAAACAGTCAGGGGAGGAGGAAAAGAAGGTCAAAGGCAACAACATTGTGATTCCATACATGTCTGGAGTATCAGAGAAACTCAGGAGGATTTTCAACAAACACAACATCCCTGAGTTTTTTAAATCTAAGAACACAGTGAGACAGATACTGGTACACCCCAAAGACTGCACACCCAAACACAAGAAAAGCAATCTAGTGTATGCGGTCCAATGCAGTGAGGAATGCACAGACCTGTATATTGGGGAGACTAAACAACCACTACACAAACGCATGGCTCAACACAGAAGGGCCAACTCCTCAGGTCAAGACTCTGCAGTCTACTTACATCTGAAGGACAGAGGACACTCGTTTGAGGACCACCAGGTGCACATTTTAGACAGAGAAGATGGATGGTTTAAAAGAGGTGTCAAGGAAGCATCTACACCAGGGTTGAGAAGCCGTCATTGAACAGGGGAGGGGGTCTACGCCACCACTTATCCCCCACTTACAATGCTGTCCTTTCATCACTTCCCAGGAAACTCAACAAACGTAACCTCTTGGCCTCAGGTGAAGATACCAAGGATGGTCGTTCAGTCTTGGCCACGGGTGGTCCTAACGACCATAACGACTGTCTTTACAACAACCAGGAACACTAACGAACCAGCAGTATGGACAGTCCTGGCAAACGACCCCACTGAGGTTAAATAGCTGAGTTTCCCTACCAGTCTCTCAAAACTGAAGAAGTCCCTTGGATGTGGGATGAAACATCTTCTAGTATCTTCAACCAAGTCCAGTTGCCCTTGACTTTAACCTTCATTGGATAACTATGACCTGGATGACTGAGAATCTTCACAGACACGTTTTAAACTACTTAATACAAATGATCACTACGTTATACTTTGTTATAAATTTTTTAATGCTGGCGTTTATTCATTTATTCGTTGTTTATAAACTGCTAAACTGCTTATAAATGCAAAATAGTAAGGATTTATATAAAGTGTTACATCATAACACTTTCTAGTCTCTCCTATTATGTTGAGACGGGTGGACACCAGCAACCCACTAGCTAAGATCTATACACTAGATACAATAGTAATCATTATCAGTTTCGTTACAGCTGATATTAGATTTCAAGCATCCCTCCTGCAAATGTTAGCAAATTAAGTTTAATGTCACATACACAGTAATACACAGTACGATGTCTAGTGAAACTCATTCTCTGCATTTAATCCATCCTAAGTACCAGGGACCACCTCCAGTTCCAAGTGTCAGAGGAGGAGCCTCCTCCTATACCTATACAACTTCACGCTTACCTTTTTTTGTATTTGGCCACAGCAGGCGGCTGTTTTCAGTGAAAATGCTTTAAAAAGCAACGTGCTCAACACCTAACACCAGGCAGACAAAGTTTGTGACTATCTGGTGAACATAGTGGAGGATTATAGGTCAATATGGTCAGTGCTCACAACTTGTTTGCCTCATAAGAAGTCAGATACAGTAGCCCATTTCTTGGCTCAGTATTTTCTTCAGTAAGCTATTTATGGTGTAAAGTGGTCACAAACCGGCTTGTCAGTGCTACATATGACTGCGCTGGGTGCAGTGTATTGACATAAGATTTCTGGGAAAGGCCTTATGGGAATTATTTACATTTCAATTTGTGGCATTTTGGGGTCCAGCTATTGATGGTGTATTCCTGAAAGGCCCACCTGAGGATGTTTCAAAGAACCAAGAATTCAAACAAGTTCCTTGATCAAAGTTGATTGTGACTTTGGATGGATGCTCCAAAAGGTAAACTCTCAAGACCTTTTATTTACGGTATGGATGTTTGTGTGTGTGTGTGTTTTTTCCCCACTACCTGCAGGACACAAGCACTAATTTAGAGTGCTGGCAGTGGTAAATGCATTTGACCATGTATGTAGTATGCGTTTTGATATACTTAAAAAACCCAGATACAATGCATGGCAGAGTATATACGTGAAACCTTGATAATATCGTGTCTCAAGTGTTATACTGGAGTATTTTCTGTGCCTGAAATCTCTAATAACTTCCTTTTTAAGTTGACATACTGTCATACTCTGTTTAAGTGACAGCTCTGCCATTCAACACATATACACATTCAATAGTTTATTGTCATGATAAATACACAAGAAACAGGAGAATTTCCTTCAAACATTCATAAATATACTGTCAGAATAAAAGTTCCTATACATTTTCAATTTTCTCCTCATTCTTGCCATACCTAGTGTCTGCATACCTCCAAGGTGAACGTACTTTTTAATGAATCAGAAAAATATCAGCCCTTGTAGTCACAACGTGACTTGCATTTTCCTTCCGCCTGACATATGTAGGTGTGCCTGTCTATGTCTATGAGTGTAAGCATTCCAATCTGGTGCATAGTGGGAAACACCGCAGTTACAGGTACTTGAGGCAGGAAGATGTCTCATTCATTTTGCACCTTTGATAAACATTCATGTCAATAGTGTTTGGGCAGTGCAATCATTTATATCTCCCTAAGGACCCGTGTCACAAGAAAAAGAGGAACTGAGCAAGCTTGTAATGGCGTACATAGCAAACTTTGCACACAATGGGTAGAGTATTTTATTTTAATCATTACTACTGTCCTGGGAAGTGTTTATACAAAAGCTTCTTTTCCTTTCACGGGCTGTTTGAGTGTTTTTTTTTTTTTATGTGTTTGCTTCCTCCACACAGGTCACCTAATGGGCCCACACCAGTGGAGGGGGCTCGCTACAAGCACGGCTGAAACTACCTGAAACTGAACCTGCAGCAGACATTAGCCCGAGGACTGAAACAGAATAGAGCTTGCCTCCCAGATGTGGTCCTGTCTGATCAACTGGCAAAGTCTCACCCTCCTAATGATGAACTCTGATCTAAGACTTCCATAAAGTGCAACATACATTATCACACGACAAGTGAATTTCACAGTTTGTCGTCAAGTGTGTAACGTCTTTGTCTCTGGATGTCGTCCCGGTTACTTGGGCGAACCTCCCAGTTTGGGCTTCTGGTTCCATTTGCGCAGGTACATTCAAGCAAAGGCTTTGGTGGCCGAGTCGAAGTCACCTGGACACACAGAGACACTATGTTAAAGCCTGTTTACTGTACTGAACATAGCAGAATACAAGCACATAAAGTCCAAATGATATGTAGTACCTGAGATTTGAGGACACGTAGCTCACTGTGAACTTTCCTAAACTTATTCTCCAATTCCAGATACTTCTCCTTAAGCTTTTCCCTGTCCCTCCTCTCCTTCAAGAAGTCTTCCTTGTAGACTTCAGCCTAAAAATAATTGACAAGGAAACATAATATAAAATTCAATTGAGAATTTGGGCGAGTGCATTTGAGGAATAGTTCGACTTTTTTGGGGGAACGCACTTATTCGCTTGCATGCTGAGAGTTGTGTGAGAAGACTGATACCACTTCCGTGTGTGTATGCTAAATATGATATAGTTAGCTTAGCTTAGCACAAACACCGAAATCAGAGGGAACCCGCCAAGCGAGGCCTAGCTGTTCCCCCTTGTTTCTATTCTTTAAGCTCAGCTAAGCTAACTGGGCTAACTGTCTCCTGATGATGATACACAATGCTCACCTGATGTTTCCAGATATCATGTAGTGTTTCACTGCTCACATCAAGAGGTTGAGTAGTCTGAAGTGCCTCGTCGAGAGCCTGTATAACATAAAAGCAGCTATATTACCACTGTTGTTGCAGGCAACAAACACTCAAACGACTCAAGCTGTGGATATAGAGCTGTCAGTTCAATCTTTATTGTCCCACCAGGGGAAATTTGATTTGCAATTGGGTTAAAACAAACATACATGAGACATAAACAAAGATAAGAATAGCTGTTGCCGTATACAACACTTAAACTGTGTTGAAGTGAGGTGCTATAACATGTGCATGGATCAGGACTCACCTTGTTCAGTCGTCTGATCTCCTCGTGCTGACGCTGCCCTCGTCGAGTTAGAGTGCTGTTTTGCACCCGCAGCTCCCTTGCCTCCTTTTCTGCTTTTACTAACTCCGAGCTGACATCAGTGTCTCTAGTCTGTGAGAATTTTACAATGAGGATCAATTTATTATACACACTTAACAGATTGAATTCATTGAAATGCTTTAAATTGCATTTACCTACCCATGTGCTCTCTTTGACTTTCTTATGTAATGTGAAGTGGTTTTCTCCTCCTTCCCAAGTCTCTTCTTCAAATTGACTTTGTTGCAGTAATGCTTTTAAGTCTTGGACCTGAGGGTTGGTTAAAGAAGACGACATGTGACACAAGGCATCCAAGTAAACTAATCAAACAAGCCAAATAGTGCTGAATCAAACATTGAGTAAGACTGTTTTGCCCCTTTCTTACCTTCTCTTTGTAGTACTGTCTCATGGTTCGGTACTCTTTAGCCCATTTCTCGTTAATAGAAAGAAGCTGAGTAAAAGAGAAAGAAGACTCATCTTTTAAGTACTGAAAGGAACATGTGTTTTGGGATGAATATAAATCTCAGTTCTGAAATGTACTCACCTCTTGCCTTTGCTCCTCCAAGATAAGTATCTGTGCTTTCATTCTGACGTCTCTGCTGGCAGGCGACACCTCTAACTGAAGCTAATAAAAGGGGAACTATTATAATGTGGCCCACGGTATGCCAATCAGCAGTTATACAATATGACTGTATCCACTAACTTCCTTTTACACATTTTTGGAAGTTTTGTTTGGGACAGTTTCCAGTAACACAAAGAACGTTTTTTTTTATTTCCTTGTGGTAAGGGAATCAGACTGTGACAGCATGGGAATGAATAATTTTATCTCAGATGTATCTTTTAATGTTGCATCAGTTAATATTACCTTGTTGTCCCCCAGCAGACTGTCAGGAAGATCCACAGCAGCTGTGTGAAGGTTTTCTCCAATGGAGCGGCCCGGCAGACAAACCTCATACCTGAAAACATTTAACCACATCAGTGAAAGTGAGTTTTTGGCATTATATAGCCTTTTATTAATAGCACCAAACCAGTAAATCATAGGAAGTCCTCTGCAAAATGTTATGTCCCTCACCAATCGATATTCGGCAGTGATGGGTACAGTCTGTGGGTCTGTCTGTTTATGGTGGTACCGGCCTGTGATCTCTCCACAGGTGGCCTGTCTGCTGTCTTTTCATGTTGGGACTGTCAACACAAATGAGGACACACATTTTACTTAGCACTTTTAAAAATCCTTACTTCATAACATAAAACTATGTAGATTACAGTCAGTAATACTGTGGTGGTCTATAGGGTTTAAGGTGCCGACCATAAACCAAAACACCCCCAGATCTTGTCTGGATCTTTGTTGCTTATCATTTCCCATCTCTCTTTCCTCTCATTTCTGGTAATTTCTCTGTCACTATCTAACAAAGTCTAAAAATTCCCAAAAACTATTCAAAAAGTTGCATTATGTAGTGCTGAAACATGAATGAAATATCAATTAGTTTGATTGATCTTCATCAAGTTTAATCATCAATTAACTGTTGTAAATACAATTTAATTTAATTCATATAAGTTAAGATGTTTCTTTATTAGTAGGGGAAATAATAAAAGAATCAGTTAACATTCTGCGTAGATGGAGAAATATAAACACACGATATAGTGCAGCTCTGTGTTGTAGAATGACAAATGAACCTTGAATTATTTATCAAGTGTACATGACAAAAATTCACTGGTTCAACCTATTCAAATGTGAGGATTTGGAGCTCATATTTCATATTACTGTAAATTACTGTTTTTTAAACTGTTCAGAAATTGTCTGGATGTACATTTTGGAGTTGCTGTACTGATGAAGCAAGGTGCCTAGCCTGACGAAAATGGCACGCGACAGATGACTCAAACCCAGAGGGGATGTTAATCGACACAGTCATGCATCACCCAAACTCAGGCTGCACATGGGGCTCTTCACACCACGTGACTTCACAATAAACTGACATGGAAGAATAAGAGTGTGTGTTCTTTAGCTCTAGGGATCAAACATAGGCAGATATCTGTTATTGTTGTTGTTGTTGATAATAATAATAATAATCTTTATTTGTAGAGCACTTTTCAAAAACAAGTTACAAATTGCTTTAACAAGTGTAAAGACAATAATACCCAAAAGACAATAATACAAAAACAATACAATAGAAAAGCATAAAAACATTGAACAGACTAAAATACATAAATATATAGATAAATATTAAATTAGTAAAATACAATAAAATAAAAGGGATAAAATAAAGTCAAATAAGATCAGGAAAGGCTCTCCTATAAAAGTATGTTCTAAGAAGGGACTTAAAAGAGTGATGATGATGATGAAGTATTGAACTGTCTAGCCTACACTACACTTGAGAGTTAACCCTGATTCAATCGAAAAAAGAGAATGTTTCCTGCATGCCCTGTTGGGAATCTAGATGTGTTTATTTAGTGTCATTTATCAAGACAAAACTGCCAAAAAGGACAATCTCTTTGGCTTATCAGAGAAATCAGATTCCTCCATGGGCGTCATTTACACTGGGGATGCTGGGGACATTTTGAAACAGCTGACGTTTTCTGAAAATTAGCTTGCAACAAATGTTTAAAAACAAATAAAAATTCTATGAGAAAGGTTTACTTGCACAATAGGAAAACCTGAAATGCAATGTAAAAGAAACAGATCTACCTTGTCCAAAAAAGAAACATAACAATAATTATTGTATTTGATTTTTTTTTATTCTGAATTGTTACTGGCTACATGAATTTTGTTTCCCTTCCTATAAATAAAGACATTTCCACCATAAATTGGTGCAGAAAATGTCTCTAGAAAGCAGGAAATTGTGAGTTCAATGCTCAAAATCTTCTGGGGGAGGACCCCCCCCCCCCATCATATAGCCTATTTCATCAATGAATACTTATAAATAACATAGGAGTTTATTCTTGTCTTGTTCTCCTTACTCCAATATTGTTCATCATCACGTCTCGTGGACTAAGTGTTTCATCACACCCCTAATCAGAGCCCTTAAATGTCCCCACCACTTTTCAACAAAAAGTGACGCCCTTGAATTCCTCTATCATTACCTAATAATAAAAACCGTTAATAACTTAATAATCAAGCAGAAACACACATAAACAATGAATCAAAAATAAAATTAAAAGCGCAAACTCACCATATTGTTGTTTTCTGGGCTTCTCAACACGTGGTGATCCCACAAAAACCTGGCACTGACTCGCTCCCAGCCTCACTTATAGCCTACTGACGATCACGTGTGACGTTGCAAAACCTGCATTGTCCAATCAGCGGCTGGGATTCCCTCGCCGGGCCGGTTCAGTCTCAGGGCTGAGACGCTGACGGACTTTGTCGAAGGAAAGGAAAGTACAACTGGTTGATCAGCAGCTCGAGCGGTAATTAGGGATGTGTTTGTGGTACTGATCGATGACTAAGAGAAAAATCTAGTCTACACTGCAAGAAGGGATCTTATTATTTTCTTGATTGCAGAAGTTTTTATTATTTTTATTTTAATGCAATATGACGTTTTCCCTTACAATAATTTTCTTTACTTTATTAATAAATGTATAAATATTATTATTTTATAATATCATAACACCCAAAACAAGGGACACAAATAATAATAAAAAATACTAACAATAGAAAAAAATCAATAATCCATACATCAAGTTAATGAAAATCAAATCAAACACATACTCTTCCGTATTTACAGAAGCCTATATTTTGGACATTATATTAAAATATAAAGGAAATAAAACTTAGTAAATGGACTAAACTATAGCCTAGCCTACTTTATGGCTAAATGTTAAAATAAATTTTAATCCTGCAGTAGGCTATCTTCAAACATGAACAACATGTTATTGTCACATATTAATGCTCTTGTTTCAGTCAAGTACAATCAAGTAAAATACCAGTAAATTGAGTCTAGCCTACTTGTAGAATCAATTCGTCATTTTTTACAGTGGACAGTCCGCACAGTTTAACGTTGCGTAATGGGGGTTTGCTGCACGCAGTATCTTCCTGGGTGGGTGAACTGTGCACAGCCGGAAAACGTTTTGAGCAGACACAAATATCAAAATGAAACTGTCCACAAAAAATATCTAACATAACGTGGGAAAATCACACATCACGCAGGCTTATCATGTTACTCAATCTTCTGACTGTTCTCAAAGTTGTTGACTCAGAGCGTACTTGTTTCAGGGAAGAAGGAGAGGGGAAAATACGCCACTGCTCCTCCTCCAGTAACCGGCAGTCAGTGCAGGGGACTCAACATGTATTCTTTCTCATAGAAACTAGCATAAGTAAAACTTATTTCCATACTTCTTTGCCTATAAAGCTGAGACCACCCTTTTCCTCCTTTAGATGCTGGTTAAAAAAACCAAACAAACATCAAAGCAACTTGATGGCCAAAAGAAAATACAGACATGTGATTTCCCCAGTGAGACACCAAAATAACAGAGAGCATGGATTTTTCTTTTTTTTTTGGTTAAGTTAGCAGATGTTGGGGAGGTTTCAGCAGGGCATTCTGGGGTATCCCACTTCACCACCAGGACTATTTGCAAAAGAGGCAATCCTCGCCAATCAGGATGCTTTAGCTATGTGAAGAGAAAACCAAGACATCCACCCATCCACATGGAAAATCTTAAAGGAATAGTTCCACATTTTGGGATATAGGCCTAGGCAATTCCCTTTACCTGTCAAGGAGATATCTGTGATATTAAGCTAGAACCAGGAGACAAAGCTTAGTTTAGCACAAAAACTGAAAAAACTATGGCAAGTCTTTTAAAACCCTGTGAGCTAGCACTCATTAGTTGCTTCAATCATCAGATCAAGAAAAAAATGCCAGCATCCCACAACTTGCTATAGCTTCTGACATAACTAAAGATATCTGTAGCCTACTGTATTTTTGCCTAGCCAGAAAGTTAAGATATCTGTCATTACTTTTTAACTAGGCACTATGACAGTTTTGACATCTTCAAATTAATTTTGATTATCAGTAATCAAAATTAATTTGAAGATGTCAATACTTGATAACAGACATTTAGGCTACAATTAAACTGATGACTTATCATTATTCCAGTTTTCCATCTAAAACGTCATTTTGGCTTGTCATAATACCAGTTAAGAAATCTATGATGTCATTCTGATTTAACTTAAGTAGAAGATACCTCAAAGGGACAATGTAAATATTTTTAACTGGAAAGACAACTAGACATTATTCAGTTGCAATATTTTGCAATTTGCATATATTATACCTGTATTGTAGATATCTGAAATGGTGAATCTGATACATGATAAAAAAGTAGTTTTAATCTTACTGATCAAAATGCAATGACAGATAAGCCTATCTAAAAATGTAAGTTTTGACTGGTCAAAATATAATCACAGATTTCTTAAATTAAAGCTGCTAGGCAAAATTAAGTGCTCAGTCACAAATATCGAGCCAGGTAGGGTTAGCCTCCCTTGTGTTGCTGCAACGTAGGAAATGGGGGGCGTTTCATACGGGAAGCTGAAGGGTACCTTGTCCTCTGGTCATTTGTACACAAAGTTTTTTGTGTACTAAATAAACAACATATAATATGTTTATGCTATCTGTTCCTTCCTGTTGCAGCCATTATGCTAGGCTATACTAAGCTAAGCTACGCTAAGCACCTGTTGGCTATAGCTTCATATCTATCATACAAAAAGAGTGGTATCATCTTCTTATCACTACCATTGTCGTATCTGTATGGTAAAGATGAAGTTACCAGCAGCAACCGATCAGTTTATCTTATCTTAGAATAAGGGAAAACACTTAACAGGAAGAAAAAAGCTATTCCAGGTAGTTACTGCACCCCAACCATAAGCACTGTAAAGCCCCATAGTGTTGTTTTTACACTTTTTGTACAGAATAAAGCTTTTTTTTCTTTTACATTTGCACAGAGCCAGGCTAGCTGTTTCCTCACGTTTCCAGTTTTTATGCTGAGTTAAGCGAACCACTTATCACTTAGTATCACATTTAGCATACACATGGGTACTAGAACGAACGTTGGGAGGGGCCAGTAGAGAATAATTATGTACAGAGACCGGATTTTGGCCCCTGAGCATACAGGCATGATAATGGTAATGGTTTTCTAATCTAACTGTCAGAAGTGTATTTCCCAAAATGTTTGCATACTGTTGTTTTATCTAGTGTTTAACATCCTAAAAATGTTACGTTAGCAGGTTCCTTAGTCTTTCAGCTCCATCCAGGCTTGGCCAAATTTTAATTTTCTGGCTGAAGAAATCCCTCCACAAAAACATATCCATAATATCATAGATGCTTTATACATTTGTTTTACACTTTTTTTTTTTTTTTTTACCTAAATATGCTAAAAAGCTAGGCTCTTAGCACTAGAAACAGAGCAAAACAAGTTCCTTCTAGGTCATGTAGATAGACAAAACTATGCAAATTATTTTAGTTTTTTGTCAGATGGATGTCTACGGTAAAGTGCCATGTATAAGCCAGATAATAGTTTATATTCACTTTAATTTGAAGTCCATGGTAGATTAACATATGGGAATGTCAACACATAGCTTTAGTTTCACTGTAACCTCATTACAGTACTACATAAAGATTTTATTAGTGCCGTGTTAGTGGCAGCGGCAGTAACTAAAACTGTGACAATGTTTACCGACATTACAGTACTTGTCACAGTAGCCCATGTTGTGGTTTTACAGAGGGGGCCTTCTTCATGTAACACCTGTGCATAGAGAGCCCTAGATGTCTCTTCCCAGCACTGACGCAGCCCATTTACGGTACGTGTGACACAGCAGCAAGTCACTAGAAAGGAAAGAGGAGGTTATTACTGTGGTTTGTGAGCCTCCTTCCTGCCACAACAATCTCACTCTGCTCTTTAAGTTCCTGTCTGTGTCGCAATATACCTTTGGTCCACACACATTAGATAAGACATTTTGCATCTAACGCCTACAAATCTAGAACCAAAAGCAGGTGAGATTTTTTTATGAGCACTTTCTATTCTTTTTGATTTTACTGGGTTTGTACATTTGCATACACCTTTGTCAAATCTTTGGCAGCAGGTTCTTTTTCACGTGAAACAAAAAAGAAAACAAAAAGGGTGAGTTTAATGGGTTTAATTTAAGGTGTTTGTGTGGCTCTGTGGTTTTAGAGAAGTGGCCTCAAAAAGAATGGAACTTTATGAACCTTGAGTTAACTTATGATGCCTTTCTGATAACACCACTTACTAGTTTTTTTTATTTATACTAGAACCTGCTACAGACAGACTCGTAGTATGTAGCTGCTAAAAATTATTCTTCCGTTTTTGCTCAGATCATTTATTTTAGGTACACTATGTACCTGTACAGCTGTCACATAACTAAATATTTTATTTGCTCATCAAGTCAATCATTATCACAAACATTTATTTTAAACATCTAAAATTCTGCTGCCAAGTAAGATAACATCCGTTAAACATGATCTTATAGCAGGATATTGTACAGGATCATCTCAGATGAAGAAAAACAAAAAACTAAGACCATTTTTATTACAAAAATGACAGGTAGTCATGTAATGATTCTGAATGTACTTCTGTATTTAAAAATCAGGTCAGACTGGTCAATGTGTACAAAAGATTTAATGTAGAATGTATGACCGCACAAAAACGAATTTCCAGTTTGTTGCTTTTTATTGTGTTTTGTTTAAGAGCGTAGTTTGACATTAGGTTCAGACGTCTTCACCAACAGGTTCCACAAGATTCTTTTGTGCTTTCCTTGATGTGAGAACTACAGTGAAACAAAAAACAACAAGAAGTTTACTATGTGAAGGCACAAACATACTGTACATGTATAGGTGACTGTTTTGGTACAATGTCACTCATTAGTTGCTTGACCAAAAGAGATGACCTGTAGTCAACTTACCTAGTCACTACCCTGCAAGTACAATCAATTTCTGCATCCAGATCTCTTTAAACCCGTGTCACAGCAACACTTGTCCCCAAGGGCGTCACTTTGTGTTGAAAAGTGGTGGGGACAGAAGGGATCAGATTAGGGGTGTGATGATACACAAGACATGATGATGCATGAAAACAAGACGAGAAGATTTTTAACACTACTTTCAAGAAAGAAAGAAATGCTCAAATATGAGAGGGTCCTCCACGAGAAGAGCCTGAAACACTTAATTTCCTGCATTCTGGAGATATTTTTTGCTCCAATTTATGGTGGAAATGTCTTTATTTATATGAAGGGAAACACAAAATTCAGATGACAGGTGACAATTTATAAATATAAAAATATAACAGAATATATAATGGAGTAATCAGCTTATTTTTTTTAGCTTAGTTACATTTTTTGGACAATGCACATTTGTTTCTTCTATAATTTAAATTGAATTGCAAATAAACCTTTCTCAAAGCACGTTTAACAAATGCTTTCCAAAAGTGATGGGGACAAAATCAGCAATTTAAAGAAGTGGTAGGGACATATCCCCAGTGTCCCCAGTGCAAATGACACCTATGCTTGTCCCTGCAAAAAAGAAATGTTGTACTAAAAAGCCATTGCTTTATCATCAATTTTGACCATTTTGTCTTTATACAATCTTGTAACAAACACCACAGTTACACACACAGCATACAACATGCGCAGAAATAAATGGCATACAAAATAAGAATTTTAAAAAGCATTAGGGCAAAGAGCCACCTGAGAAATGAGAAGAAAATCTTACTTCTTAGAGACCAGAACACTATTGAGGTGCGTCACCGTGGGGTATCGGAGTTCTTAACCTCAACTGCAAAAACACTAACAGCAAACACAAAAGAGCAACATTTAGAAGGATTACATCAAATCAACTTAATAGGGGCTCTCACATGAAGCAGCATTCAAATGTATAAGTCAAGGGCTGAGTAACTTTTGACATAAACTAAGGACTAGACCTTATCTGGGATGTATTTTCAGAATTTTTCCAAGGTCTTGTTAATAGTAGATAAGGTAAATGTCAACCAGAGCCACCAAACATAAATACACCAACACAACTTGAATATACTGCACCTCTGAATGAGCCAGGGTACAAAACCAAAGCAGTGAAAAACTAACTGTCTATATTCTTTCTGACTACACTATCCCAGCTCTTGGTCGTTGTTGACAACACTGAACTGGTGAGTGTAGTGCTGCTTACCTTTCAGGATCGTATGGTTTGTTATTCTCATCATTTAGCATTGCTGTGACTTCGCGACAGGCATATTCTGCAAACTACAGAAATAAGAATGTACTGTATATATTACCATAGAATATACAACATTTACATGATTTAATTATTGAGGTAATAAATTGATTATTAACGTAATAAACAACCAATAGCACATTAAAATAAATACATGAGTTACTAGAGAACCGACTGAGAGATCATATTTTAGTTGTATGTAATAATTAGTTAATGAATATCTGAGAATTGTTCATACTGACTACTGTAATCTAGTGAGACACACCCTCTCCGGTTAGAGTAAAAAAGACAGGCTGTATGGGTTGCCCATAAGATATTCCACCTCGCAAAACGAGAATAAAGTTGTTCAAATTATCTCATTATGTTCCAAGTCTGTTTTCTTCACCCTCAAGTGTTGACTCAGAATGCAGGCACTGAGGCAGAACAGGTAGTTGTACAATGTGCAGTTCAAAGTCCAGGAAGGGGAAACTACAATCCAAAAGGAAAACAATCCAGGCAATGAAAGCACACAAAATCCACAAATATCCAAAGGCGGGCAAGGAAAGCAGACTGAGACACTTGACAGAGAACATAGCTTTTCTGCATTGGAATTGGATTTTCCAAGCTGCAGTACAACAGTTGGCCCTGCCTGGGTGGCGGTGGTGCTGTGGTTAAGACACATGCCTTTGGTGGGGGAAACCGGAGTGACACATCTGCCAGTGTGTCCCTGAGCAGGACACTTAACCCCTAGTTGCTGCAGAGACATGCGACCTCTGACATATGTGGCAACTTAAGTCGCTTTGGATAAAAGCATCCGCTAAATGAGTAAATGTAAAAATTAATGTATTATGTATGACCTTACTTGGGGTGCACAAAAACAGTAACTAATGTTCAAGTAATTAGTAGCCTAATGAAGAAGTTCTTACTAGTGCTGTGTGCGTTGGTTCAGAGATAATTATGAAAGACTCATGAAGAATGTGGTCAGTTTGATTCACAGATATTCATGAACTAATCATTACCTAATGATTAATTTATATAGGACTGTCTGTTCCCTAGTAACTCATAATCTGACCAACCCCATCGCATTACATGCGTCACATATACACGCTTTGGAAAAGACAATAATACAAAAACAATACAAGATAAAAGCAAGAAAACATTGAAAAGACCAAAATACACGTTCAAGATAAATATAAAATAAGTAAAATAGAATAAAATAAAAGGGATAAAATAAAGTCAAATAAGATCGGGAAAGGCTCTCCTATAAAAGTATGTTTTAAGAAGGGACTTAAAAGAGTTCACTGACTCAACCGACCTGATTTCCTCAGACAGGCTGTTCCAGAGCCTCGGGGCCCTGACAGCAAATGCCCCTTTAGTTTTCAGTTGAGACTCTGGAACAGACAACAGACCTCTGCCCGAGGATCTCAAGGTACGTGCTGGTGTGTATGGGACTAAAATCTTGGTGGTGTGCTGCTCGAAATTTAAGTTACTATCAAACCAGACACCAAGGTTCTTTGCAACAGGCTTAATGTGATTTACTAGGGAACCAGCAGATGGCAGTATTTGATTTGCCATCTGCTGGGACCCGATGACCAGGATTTCTGTTTCTGGAGGAAATTATTTGACATCCATTTATTAACTTCACAAAGGCAGTTGTTAAGTGAACTCAGCTTTCCAGGGTCTGTGGATCTGACGGGCAAGTACATTTGTGTGTCATCAGCATAAATATGAAAAGAAATACCATGTTTATGGATAATATGTCCAAGGGGAAGCAGATACAAGGAAAACAAAATGGGTCCTAATCCATATTTAACTGGATAGAACGAAGAGACATAGTTGCTTACAGACATGCAAAACTTCCTATTTGACAGGTAGGATGAAAACCATTCTAGGGCTGTACCAGAGATCCCCACCCAGTGCCTCAGTCTGTCTAACATGATGTTGTGATCAATGGTGTCAAAAGCAGCGCTAAGGTCCAGGAGTACAAGGACTGAGCACATACCTTCATCAGCAGACATTAAAAAGGTCATTGGTGACTTTAAGCAGGGCAGTCTCAGTGCTGTGGTGGTACTTCCTGAAACCAGACTGAAACTTATAATTTGTTATTTTCCAGTACAGTGAGCAGTTGTTTGGACATAATTCTTTCTAGAATCTTTGCAATAAAAGGCAGTTTTGAAAAGCCATTTTAAAATAATCAGGGACACAACCAGTAGATAGGGAGCTGTTAAAAACAGAGATCAAATGGGGGGCCAACAGAATCCATTACTTTCAGTAAAAATTTTGTAGGTATTACATCAAGTGGGCTGGAGGACACTCTCATTTGTGATACTGTATTTAAAAGCTCAGACAAGTCGATGGGATAAAACTGGTTAAAACTCTATTGTTGCTGGTGAGGAACCTCTGAGTAAGAGACCATGGGGGTAATAGAGGCTTATTTACCTTATTGGTAAAATAAGAAAAACAATTCAGTCATCATCACTTCCAGCTGAGGCACAAGGAGGGGTTGGGTTTACCAGCTGATCCACAGTCTTAAACAGAAACCTGGGATTGTGTTTATGTGTTGTAATGAGTTCAGAAAAATAGTGTGTTCTCGCATCCTTAACCATGTTATTGTAGTTAATTAATAAATCCTTCAGACTGAGGTAATGGACTTGGACACTGGATTTTTTCCATCTGCGCTCTGCTTTCCTGCATTCCCTTTTTAGGCTTTAGTGACAACAAGCAGATATGATTGAAGTGATCGACTTTGAAACACTTTGTTCATTAAAGATGCGAGAACACACGGAGCTTGGTGAGGCGGCATGAGTAACAGGCGAATCGCAGCTAAAAACAATACATCTGTGGTGAGATATGGTCATGTCCACTAATTCCACCGAGGAAATGCTGACACCCGGGGGTAAAAACCAAGTCCAGTGTATGACCACGGTTATGGGTTTGCCCTTTGACATGTTGTTTAAAGTTAAAAGAAGTGGCCAAATTTAGTTTTTTTTTTGGTTTTTTTTATTCCTCATTTAGTTGCATTAACATTGTTGGGGTCATCAACATGAATATTAAAACTCAGCCACAAAGAACAATTCTGTCATAATTTAAAACCAGAGTAGATAAATTCAGGAAGTTCTGATAAAAATCCTCCCGGTGGTTTTGGGAGGCGATAAATTATAACAAATATTATAAGTTGGAGGGCTGCAACTTTAAGAGTGAGAACTTCAAAGGAGTTAAATTCATCACAGTGTATTTGACATTTAAACCACCACCACGACCACTAACCCTCGGTTGACTAAAACAATCATATTGAGGCGGACACAGCGCTACTAGCACTTCCGGTCACCCCGGGGCGTAACATACACACGTGGGCTGGATGCGTCTCATACACATGTACCTGTACATGTACTAAATCCTCCACACCATATGAACTTGACTAACCCAGCAATATAAATTGCATGTGTACATTTTCTAAGGTGAAGCAAGGTCCCCTCATGTCACACCAACTGTGCTGTATGTTTCCTAAAGATGCTATTAGCAACTAATGTGAATCTATAAGAGGGCTCCTGCAACCAGACCAACACAAAGCCTCAGCAATGAGGAACCAGGCCAGGAGACCTTTGTCTTTCTTTGCTTTTACTTAGGCCCCTCAAACACGTCATGTTTAGTACTGACTGAGCCAAGAATGAATGTATTTGGTGGCACTCACCTTAGCAGACGCTCTTTTCCAGATGGAATTAACAGGGTTTTCCATGCGTTTGCAAAGTCTAATGAATGTTTCTAAAATAGCACACACACACACACACACACACACACACACACACACACAGAACATGTTTAAAAATGTTAGTCACTCACTTCTTCAGTTTACTACTTCTTCTGTTTATAGACTTCACAAAGAACACCTCATAAAACTAATTGTAATTAATATCAGGATGTATTCAAATCTTCAGAAGCAGACCAAGCAGAAAAAGAACATGTTAGACATTTTAAAAAAATGCTTCTGTAATTATATACTTTTAATCATTCACTGGAAACAATATTGTTTCACACTGAATTGTGCAGCAGCGCTGGTCTTAAGTTTTTCAGACCACTACTAATGCAGATGTTTACATGTCAGATACTATAATGTTATAAATATGGTACAAGTACAGCTGCTGCCACTGTTCTTCTGTGTTGTTCAACGCCTTATTATTGTGATTTGCTGTATTTCATGCATGAAAGTTGATCATTTGTAGCCTGAACTGGTCCCACTTGTAAGTTATTGCACAGTGCATGATGAATTGTTGCTGCCCTTCCTTCCACACCATTCCAGATCATCCAGCACAGATCCCAACAAAGTGTCCTCCAGTGTGCTAAAACGAGTCTTCCCAGTAAAGTCATGGACCAATTCTTTAGTGTTCTCCAGAGCATTGTCTAACCCACACAATATGATATTACATTGTTAAACACATGACATTTGGATTATGAAGCTCAGGGAATGTACAAAAGCCTGTGACACAAACAGATGTTTACTTTGCTGCATGGATGTGTGAAGGGAATCTTGGCAAAGACTAGATCATAGTCTTGCTCAGGAAAGCCACATGACTCCTTCCCTAAAAAGGCTTGTCGATGAAGATATCCAATATTTCTTTACAGCTATAAAAATAAATGCTTAATAGATGAAACGTTAATTAGACCTATTCTGTTGCAATACATATAAGGGACGTACCCAGACAGGCGGGGTGTGCCACAGCTGCCGTACCTAATCGCTGCCATTGTGCTCACACCAGAAGCGCTACAGCGTGTCCCAGAAGCGGCTCAGTTCCCTTATGCTACCTATCGAGATGTGCTACTTAATGGTTCTGCGCATGCACATGACCCACAAGGTTGGTCTGTTTCCACGCCCATAAATCTGTGCAACCTGTGTGCAACCTTGCTGTGGGGCATGCCGTCGAGGTAATGGCTGATCGTCAGCAATAGCAAAACAAAATTATAAAAGTCTATCAGAATATATACATCTTAAATAGGCTAAATGGTGGTATATGTATAATATAGTCTTTCAACATGCTCCCCATCTCCATAAAGTATACATGGAGTGAGAAGTGGTGCAATATAAAATGATTCTGTAGTGGGAGCATTATTTGATAGACTAATATCCCCTATCAGAATATCCCCTTCTGAATCAGAATATGCTACCCCTGAAATGATGTACAATGTAATCAAAAAACCGGAAGATGCGTCAAGCAGCAGAGAGCAGATGAGCCGTGCAGGAAGTCAGACACAGAAACGGCATAGAGAATCCGGTCGATCTTCAAAATAAAATACCTTGTGCAGACTCCAGGTTGGTATATCAATAAACACAGTCAAAAGAGACCAAAAAAGAAAGTTAAACTATGTAGTCTTAACCATGGTAGAAGCAAAAAAAAATTAAGGACAACTTACCAAATCAACTAAATCTAAACAATTCAGCAAAATCAGGTAGGCAAAACGCTCTTATTCTGAAGTGCCCCAAGTGGGAAATTCAGCCCGGCAAGTAACGAGGGAAACTGTTACTGTTAGAGACCTGTGATCGGTAGTAGAAGCACACAAAATGACAAAGAAGTCAATAACCTGGGGCAGGCTGAAACGCTTCCAGTGTGACGCAAGGCTGAGGACCGGTGTTATGCCGAGTGTTGCATGCCTGCCGAGAAGTGCATGCACCTCCAAATACTGCTTTTAAACGCTATATCATCCTTCGTGGGGATGAACTATGATAAATTATTCGAAGTATATATTTTGAACGTTTAGAGTCGTTAGTATTTTATTACACTTAGAAGTAGCATTCATTGAGATTCAGATGGGGTGATTACCGCGTTTGATCAATGAGCAAAGTGAGCAAGTGACTGACAAGGACCCTGAGAGGCGAGTGCATAATAAGACAACAAAACAGATGTTGTAGGCTACCTGCCGAAATTTGCATTCACCTCTTTTCAGCAGAAATTAGAATTCGGCACATCTGCACCAAAACCGTGGCGCAGCTGTAGTAGAGATGCTTACCGTGTGTTTTGTGGATCAAACGTCTCACATTCCTCCTTGAATGCTGCTTTGAACTTGCCTGTTTGAGGAAGCGGCTACCAGTAGAACCGTTAAAGACGATCACGGCGATGAGAGCCCCAACGATGGCCGCTATATATTTTACACCCCATTTAAAAGCTCCTTCTATAAAATAACATTTCTGAGAAAGTTTTGATCACACAGAGCTGTTAATAGGAGTGCTATCACTGGCTCCCTACCAGTGGTCAAAGGCTGTGCGCATAAATCTGTAGCCTATTATCTGTGTCTGACAGAGAGGTAAGATTTGACCAAACTTAAATGAACAGGAAGTGGCTTACTTTGGTTTCCAAACGCAACCTATCAAAATGCTACACTTATTTAAGCTACTCAGAATTACTCATAAGAACACCACTAAGGACTGACTTAAGAGTAAAAAATTCTTGGCTCAAACTTGTGCTTAACAGTTATCAAGCATCATAGTCCTAATATGAGTGAAGTGTAGGACTAAATCTTATGTCAGGTCAGTCTTTGAGCTGATTCACAACACTTTGCTGTGCCCAAACAGGATTTTGGATGACAATGTAACCAAGAGCCAATCACTGAATAGATTTCCCTATTTAGGAATATTCTCAGATAAATTCACATTGAATTATGAAATTCCTAAGGAATTTATACTCAAACATTTAATAAAGAATTCAAGAGAATACATTATGATATAGCCTAGGCCTACACAATAAAGATAAAAAGTTCATCTTCATACGAGTGCCAGCAATATTTCTGTGAGATCAGCCTGAATTGAGCCTATAGTCCTGTGAAGCCGGCTATTTGCATGAATTGTGTTTGCTGTAGCCAAAGTCCCATAATTGTTTCCATGGCAATTCGGCTTATTGATGGTTGTGACGGGCCAAAATCATCAGCATTGCTGCATTTGTCCTGTGGCAAAGGCACCAACTTCAGTTTAGCTGAAAACGCATCTCTACAGTGCCATCACAAGCCCCTACTGGCAGCTCCTAACCACTTGAGACCTCTCAAGCTGTCTTAAATAACTGGGAGTGTAAGAGTGATTCTTAGCTTTAAGAAATTTGACAACTTGCTTTTATTCTTGAGTTTAGAAGAAGGAGTAAATTTCATGAAGTCTCAGCACTGAAGACTAAAATGGCACTGTGAGAAGCTAACTACTGGCCCAGATCACACATGTGCAAACACTAATTTCTTAGGTTTTTCTCAGTGCTTAAAGACTAACCATTATTGAAGGGCTATTTCTGAAACAATTAACACTTGTAACCATTTACCACACTCTAAATAAGTTCAGAATACTCAGACTACATACCTCAAACTTAGTGGTAATATTTGAGTAAACCTTAAATACATTTTTAAAAAACCTTTAATTTCCACATACCAAATTCAGGCATTGTGATTATATATATACACACTGAGACCCCCCCATAAAACTGGCAGCCGCTCTACTGGAGTAAATGGATGTAAAGCAGGACCCATGACAATAACTTATTTGGTGGATGTGTTGCAGTGGGAATCAAAGACAAGTGTCTAATCCACTGCCCCTTCGCCACCTCTATAATAATAATTATTTTGTATTTATTTTTTACCAAGCCTCAACAGCTAAATGTGCAACATGCAGCATGAAATAATTGACTGTATAACTAACAACTACTAACTTTCAAATTAGTTTAGTTTAGTAGAAGAGACAGCAGCAAAGGTTGTTAACTGCTTAACAGTTATATTATTCAGGAAACACGGATCAAAGCCACATCAGTCTCTGTCTATTGATAAACCGTAGGAAAATGTTTGGCATTTCAACTCTGGCAGTGGGCAGGCGTGTGCGTGAGACGAGAACGACCGCGACAGTTTCACGGGATCATGCCAGTTACACAGAAGCCGCTGCCATGGTTACCTTGCGCTTGTTTGCCTGTCTGTTGATGAGGAGCGCAGAGCGACCCCGCGGATTAAAGCCATCTGAAAAGGCCTTATATAAACCCCGTCACAACCATTCACAAGAAATTTTATAACTTAACAAACCTTTAACATAAGGACATAAAGACTTAAAAAGCACCCATTCATACAGCAACTTGTATATAGGCTATGATTGATTAATCCACAACAAAGTCAAACTAAACATTACACATAGCCTATAACAAGCAATAATCAAATCATGCCCAATTTATCCGATGCTTATTGTCAACTCAGTGTTGGGCAAGCTACTCAGAATATAGCTATTACCTAGTTACTCTGCATAGGCTACTCCTTAAAAAAAAAAATTAGCCACGCTATTTATTAGGCTACTGATATAACGCCACACTCTCCCGCTGAGTCCAAGCATCACTGGCAGTAGCGGCCGGAGTTTCTTACCGAGTTTCAAGTTGCTGTTTTACATTAGCTGATGCGTCAATTAGCCTAAGTCAATGTAGAATTTTTCGTGGTTAAGCGCTGGTCGCACAAAGTTTACAACGGACGACAATGTTCTTTGCATCTTAGACTGACAAAATAATGGTAACAATGTTACTTACAGCTGTCGAAAATACCTTGTTGATACTTGGAAAGGAAGAAAACTGTAGATTTCCTCAAATCCTTTCCATTTCACTTGGCCAGCTCCTGTACTGCCCCCTCCATTTTTTATAATTGCAGATCTACATGATTCACGTAGGTCCGATTTTCAGGGAATAAATCCAAACATATCCCTGCAAATTACATTGATTCAGTGATGCTTATTCAATCAATAAATGTAATTCTGCACAACTTATACTCTGAGTTTCCATTAGTATTTGAGCACAATTCATTTTTTTGAGTAAATTTTCCTCAATCAAAATTACTACTAGTAAACTTAAAATTTACAAAATGCCCATTTCCAGATAGTCCTCAAAAATACAAATACCATTACTACAATTCAAGTTCCCTTTATCATCTTCTCGCAACATCTTCCGTCATTTCTACATTTGACACAAAATGCATAAAGCTATACATAGACAAAATAATTGACTGCTTGATCAGATAATTAACCAGCAACAATTTGTTTATATTCTTTTTTGCAATAATGTTGAACATTCTCCATTTCCAGCTTCTTAATGAGATTTTTTGGTGTTAAGTGATAACTTGAATCTCTTCAGCCAAATAAAATTTCCTTTTACTACTTACTTTACTGTGTTTTGTAGAAAAAGCAACTATGCATAATTGTATTCCTTCAGCACTTTTTATATAAAAGGGAGCTTTGAATGGGGTTTAATTCTAACCATTAAATCTGGGGAAAGGGTTATATAAATTATAATACTCAGTTTGCAATTCAATAACGCACTATTATCAAAATTGAAAACATTCTTATTTATATATTTTTTTCTACACTATTTTGCCATGAAAATACTTTTAGATTTTTAGTTCACATACCAACCAGAGCTTGAGCACTATACATAATGTAAACATTTGGTTTGGCTTACAATGGAGGCTTTAGAGGGGTAAGAATTGGAGGAGGCACAGAAGGACATGAACAAGGAGGTGAAGAAAGTAGAGGAGGATCAGGAAGAGAATGAGGAGGAGAGGGCAGAATCAAGTAGAATGGGGGAGAAGGAGAGGACCAGGAAGGAAGAGGGGAGTCAGGAACATAACTGGTGAAATCAGAGGCACTGTTGTCAACTATGGGATGAGCTTGAGGGAGGCTGGGCAACAGATTAAAATCTGAGCCACTTTACTGTTGCAGATATTATCTGGCTATTTTGAAATGAAAATGAAAAGTGTTAAGTGCTGTACAGCACTAGGACTGGTTCAGTAATAGCTACTGTAAAGACAAGGATCTGTACTGTAAAACCAATCAAATGTTTTTACAGAATTGCAAGATCGACTCTTTACACCAGAGCCGGAGAGCCACATTGTATATATGGTCAATGCAAATAAATGCATCACACTCAGAGCTACAGGACAACATAGTGGAAGATAACACAAAGTGTTCCAAAACATCAAAAATTGTGCCTAAGCAAGCAGAAAAAAAACCTGGAACTGATCACTAACCAATCACTGCTTGTCATCACGTGAACTAAACGTGGAATATTGGTCACATGATAACATGTCTTTGTATAATGGGGGTGATCATAAATCCCTGTCTCTTTTCGAGTTTAACTTAATTGTATTTATTTTGATGTCTTTTTGGTATGGGTGATAAAATATGTTGATTTCACTCAGGCAGTCGTTATCACACTGTAGAATCCAAAGAAAATTTCACAAGCTATTAAACATTTTATTAAAAATCGTTTAAAATTCTGCCACCAGGTAGGAGTGAGATTGTCAGCTGAACGTGATTAGATAGCAGCACTGCAATTTTACCCTATGTACATGACAATCAACCGAAACTCTTTTTACACTTCCCCATCACATCCCGAACATTTTCAATAAAGATACAAAGGTGCATTATCATGTTTTTTAAAAATGATTCTGTGACATTTATATATAAAGACGCATTTCACATTATGTCAAACTGGCCCACAGGTAGAACATAACATTTCCAAAATACTTGATGATTTGCAAAGACTGAACAAAAACGAAAACGAATAGCTAGTTATAGCTAGTTGGTGTTGTGTCTCGTCTTTTCAGACAGTTTCATCTTCATATCTTCACCAACAGGCTCCACAGGGTTTCTCTGGGTGGGAGCTGCACTCCTGGATCTGAGCTCTGCAGAGAGAGTCAAACATCATACAGTCTAGAAACTGTGTGAGGACAGAAACATACACGTGATCATGTCCACTTACACAAACATGTTGTACTTACTCAGTCACTTCCTTGCAGTTGTATTTAATTCCTTTCTTCATCTCTTTCTGTAAATCTTTTAAAGATGCATTTGTGCAGTTTGTCCTGAAGAGGATACAGAAAACACAACTTTGGGATCAATTATCAGAGTATAAGCTTGTCTTTGTGTGTCATACCCTATACAGTCTATGGTCATACCCCAAAATTGAGCCACTGTGGAAGAACTTGCAGAACATTTATGTGATATCACATTCAAAATCAACAAGGACAATAGTGTGTCAGTAGTCTTGTTTATACAAAGAAAATCTTACCCAGTGTCCTTCTGTGTGACCAGAATAACATTCAGACTTGTCATCCTGGTGGAGTTGAACCTCTTCACCTCAATGCTTCCAAAAATACTGGCAACAAAAATAGAGTACAATTCAGAGAGTTTAAAGTTGATAAACAGCAGATATGGTTCTAAACTATACATTTATATTTCTAAAGTGCACAAGTTCTTTCATGTAATTTCCTTGCTGCAGAGCGCCTTAAAATGGGAAATTGGTCAGAGAACTAAATCCCAATGAAATCTGCATACATCTAAATGATTCAGAAACATGATGATTAAAGGGTAAATTGATACAAGAGTCACTCACTTGTTTTCTCATGTAATAGTTGTTTGATTTTTGTAGCTTTTGGGGTGTTTGTCTGACATAACAAGCTTTCTGCTGACATCAACTTGTGCTTTAGGAAAATTGTGATAGGCATTTCATAAAATGTTCGGACATTTTATTGACTCAGTGATTAATCAAGCAAATAATCTACAGATTAACTGATAATGAAAATAATCAGACCTCAACAGAAATAGTTTTGTTTTTACTAAATGGGTCAAAATGACCCTTACGTGTGGTCGTCTTGTGCTCTTTGTTACCAGATTACAACACAGATGACACAAAGGAACAAGATGCATAAGATGTTTTTATATTACGGCCCTATCCTGTCCGGTCCTGTAGTTCTCCAGGTACTGCCCTTCCCCCTCCTGCCTGGCAGCTGCAACTAGTGATTGGCAGCAGCTTCCCCTGATTCCCCAATCAGTACATAGAGGATAAGAGAACAAGGCTATGTGGCTGGTCTTGAGAGGGCGGCGTGGGAGGCTGGTATTGTGGGGCCAGCCTGTGTGGCTGCCGACCAGTGGGTTAGATGGTAGTAGTAGTAGTGGTGGTGGTGGTGGTGTTTGGGAGCACAGGAGTAGAGCTGCGTGGAGCTGTGTGCTTGCATACTCCCTCGGTAAAGTCTTTTGTTTGAGGTTTGTTATCTTGTTTGCACATAATCTGTATCCTGTTTCTTTTGGCTTGGCTTTCATTTATATTTGTTACTCCTCTCTTCACCTCTGGGCTTGAGCCACATGAAGATGTAACAGTGTCAAGATCTGATTAGCGTGTCTGTCACTGTCAACCTTTTTTCTTGCGTTCAGTAACCTCATGAAAGGGATATTTCTTCTACTGTTCTCACTAAAGCCGTGAAAGAGGTGCAGAGCAACTTACCTGACAGGACTGAACGGTGTGGCAATGGATCCATTTAGCATTGCTGTGACATCACCACATGCATTGTCTGCAAACTACAGACATGGAGATGATGTTAAAGAAAGTGCACTTTAGGTTTAGACTACAGACTCCCTTCAGAATGCTAAAATAAGCAAGATACTGTGGGAATCCCCATATGTAGAATAATCTGTTATTACATAAGAGAAAGAGGCTGTGTTAATATTAAAGTTACACTGACATATGGGATGGATCCACATCCCTTCTCCACGCTTTACATGTCTACTTTTTTTTGTTGTTGCCATAATTTTAGCCATCACTTTATTAAAGCAGCTATGGGACTCCAGTGAATAATCTTCTTATTTGCTATGATCCACCCTGCGCTGTGCTCCAGCTTTCTCCCACCGTCCAAAGAAAGGCAGGTTAATGGGTTAATTGCTGACTCTAAATTGCCCTCAGGTGTAAATGTGAGTGGTTGGTTGTTTCTGTGCCCTGCAACCGACTGGCTACCTGTCCAGCGTGTACCCCGCCTCTCGCCTGGGAAAGAGTGCTGAGATTAAATAAAAACATAAAACGATAGACAGAGGATTCAGGGCTGGTATTTATCAAGCTTCTCAAAGTGCCATTTTAGTCTTAAGTGCTGAGAATTCATGAAATTTACTCCTACTTTTAAACTTAAGAATAAAAGCAAGTTATCAAATTTCTCAAAGCTAAGAATCACTCTTATTCTCCCAGTTATTTAAGACAGCTTGAGAGGTCTCTCAAGTGGTTAGGAGTAGCCAGTAGGGCCTGTGATGGCACTGAGGAGACACAGACATGCGGAGAGGAGAGGAAGAATTCTGACAACGCGCAGTTAATAAGACGGGGTCGGAGCGCGCAGGCATAAACTTTGTCAGCGAGTTGGTGAAGGACGTCATCTCACCACTGACTTCACGCAGTAATGCTTTTCAGTTAAATTGAAGGTGGAGATGACTCTGTTTATTTGCCACAGGACAAATGCAGCAATGCTGACGATTTCACAACCATCAACAAGCCAAATAACTTTGGAAACAATTTTAGCACTTACAGCTCCACACACTGTCACACGTTTCATCGACTTCCCAACAACAGTGACCGTAACAACAGTAACCTCATGAAAGGGATATTTCTTCTACTGTTCTCACTAAAGCCGTGAAAGAGGTGCAGAGCAACTTACCTGACAGGACTGAACGGTTACAACACCGCCCGTAATCCGACAGAAGCAAACACAGTTCATATAGCCGGCAATACAGAAGAGAATTTGATGGCGCTCCAATAAAGATAAACCTTTTATCTTTCACTTATTAATGTGTAGGCCTATATCATAATGTATTATGTTAAATGTGTGTTGAATATAAACTATAAACTCCTCTTAGGAATTTCACCATTCAATGTGAATTTATCTGACAATATTCTTAGAGAAGGAAATCTATATAGTGATTGGTCCTTGGCGACATCATCATCCAAAATCCTGTTTGCGTGATACTTGAATTTGTGAAACTTTTTGGAAAACATGATCTCCTGTTGCCAAGCATGGTTTGCTTACCTCGCTATTTTAATCATGTCAACCAAACGTTTAAATCAAGGTGAAAAATAAATAAGATAATGGTCTGGTATGAAACATTGAGATATGTATGAACCCAAACTCTGTGGCTTCTGATAATGACTGAAAGATGAGGAAGAGATGCACTGATTGCTCTTTTATTGTTGTTGCACTCAAGTTTCATGCTTGCAGAGAAGAAACCCAAGAGGGAACAATACAGTAATATTTGTTTCTTAGTCTGTTTTTTTTCTCCTTCCCTTTTTGTTTTAAGGGAATACATTTTTTTTGTCCTCCACAGGCATATGTGTGTTATGCAAGGTTATTCAGTTCAGATTTTGTTTTTTAATAAATAATTAAACTTAAAATACTCTGTTTTGTTTGAGTCTGACACTCAGATTCTTAAATCTCTAACTTCTCTGTTTTTCTCAGCCTGTGTGCACCATAATCTTTGATGTGAAGTGGTGGGGTTTTTTTTTGTTCTTTGCCAGTCAGAGTGAAACTGTCAATTATAATATGGGTATGTTCAGACAAACACATGTAGGTAAAGGCTACAGGAAATCCACATCAATAAAAATAGTAACGTCTGCAAAAAAAAAAACATTGACACTTGAGATTTAGTCCTACACTTCACTCAAATTAGGACTATGATGCTTGATAACTAACTTTTAAGCACAGCTTTGAGCCAAGAATTGTTTTACTCTTAAGTCAGTTCTTCGCAGTGTTCTGAGTAATCCTGAGAAGCTTGATAAATACGGGCACAGTCCCAACAACCAACCTTAAAAACAGGAACAAGGAGAGATGAGAAAATAATTAAAAGGCAGACAAGAAACATGATAACAGACCAGACATAAGATAATCTACAGAGTAGACGATAAAACAAATGGCACAATAATTGAATAATAAAAACAATCTTGATAGTAGCAGAGCTACTCAGCAACTAAAAGTCTTGTTCTTGCTGACCTCCAGTGGTTGAAGCTGGCATCCTGCTGCAGGGATGAAGAAGCCAACCAGAAGCCTACACCCTGACATCCCTGTTTTGTGTGGTTACCGATGGTGCTGGAAAATTGGTTTTAAATTGAGCAATTTAAAAAAGTTCTACTATGCACCCTGGGCATGGAATAATTTGCAATAAGATCTCAAATTAGATTTTTGTTTTATTGTGAATTTTGTCATGTTGTATATGTAGCATTTTATTATGTTGTGTTTATGTATGGCTGCTACTTTGGCCAAGTTTCTCTTGTAAAAGAGATTTTTGATCTCAATGGGACTTCCTGAATAAAATAAAAAAATGTTTCCTGCTGTTCCTTTTGTGTGTAATTATGTTCACTCCCACTGGTTTTATTTAGTTTTACCCTCTCAGTCGTTGCTTGTTCATTGTTGCCCGAGTTTCATGTCTCTTGTTTTTTGGATTAATCCCAATGTTTCCCTCTGTATGCTTGGATTTATACTTTCTGTTGGATTTATGGACTAAGCACCAGTTTCATTGATTTGAAGTCATATTGCTATTGACCTGGTGAATGTTAGGGTTAGGCTTTTGGTCTCTACCAACTCCTGAGAGAAATAATTGGTACTCCGTAATTTTATACATTGTTATAATTAAAATATGAATAATAATAATATTATTGCATTTGCTTTAGGCATCTGTAATCTGCTGCATAATTTGCTGAAGAAAAAAACTAACCAAGATTTTAGACTTTTTGTTTCAGCTGCACTTTAAACTTTTCCTTATCACCAACTGTGTAGCTCAGTACTTGCTGTGAACACTGTGAATCTGTGTGTGAAGACATTTTAACTTTTAGTGTTTTTATCCTGTGCCATGCTTCAGTTTTATGCAGAACACTCTGTTTCACATGCTGTTTGTTTAAGATGGGTCATTTTGTGTTTCTACATGTCCATGTCCTTGAATCTGTGTGCGTCTTGTTTTTATTGAATATGTGGAAAAAACTGTTGGTAGTTTACAGAATAAAACCCAGTCAAACCAAACCAGGGCTCTGAATGTGTGGGTTGCTGCTGCTCGCCCAGGAGAGAGCACCACAATGTGCCTCCATGGAGACCAACACAAAGCCTCATTGATGAACAACCAGGCTGAGCGACCTTTTTCTTTTTCTCCTCTGCATCACAATCACATATATTGAGGATAGATTTACTTAATCTATGCTCTATGTTTTATTTTAAGCACTGCTTGATCCCAGGACTGTCATGTTTAACAAGTGATTTCTTATTACTAACTTACAGCTGCGGAGGCTTTGTTCCAGAATGAGCGAACAGTGTTGTTCTCACAGTCTGTCCATCCTGGGCAGCCGGTAGTGAATGTTTCTGGAACAACACACACAGATTCAACACTTTTCCTTTCTGCCAATTCAATGTGGTTGATAAGAATTTGCTTTGGTGGGCTGCTCACGTAAAACAAACTGAAACCTCAAGACGTCGCATATCCACACTGAGATAGAAAGTAAATGATGAATGACACTAGAGACATGCTATTAGCACCATGAACCAACTATAATGTGTACTATTGTGTACATACAACTACAGTGTCCTAAGGATGAGAATAATAATGCCTATGATGTTTTGAGAGTTAAAGGAGTTCAACATTTTGAGAAATACACATATTCATTTTATCACAGAGGATCAATAGCTGTCTTGAAGCTACAGCCAGTCGCTAGTTAGCTTAGCTTAGAACGATGACTGGAAACGGGAAAACAAATAGCCAACGTATACAAAATCCGGCTACCAGCACCTCTAAAACTCACTAATAAATTAATGTTTTATCTTGTTTGTTAAACCTGAACAAAAACCAAAGTGTAACACCAACTCGGAGTAACATGGTCAGGCAGAATGTTACTACGCCTGCAAGCTAACCATCTGTTTCTGCACATTTCCAGTCTTTGTGCTAAGCTAAGCTTAACTTGACGTGACTTCAGCTGCTTTAGGCGTGTGAGGTCTTTTGCTTAAGGGGTGAAAAACTAGTTATTTCCACTGATCACTGAAAATATGTTTTTAGATGTAGAACAGTAACTTTGACCAATTATGAGGTTGTCTCTTTCTTTAAGAGTCTTACCACTGCTGCCCTCCTTTCCACACCAGGTCAGACCATTCAGCACAGATCCCAACAGAGTGTCCTCCAGGGTGACAAAACAATCTCTCTTCTCAGTGAAGTCGTGGACCACATTCTTCGTTTTGCTCCAGAACATCATCTAACCCCCCCAAAAGTTCAAATCACATTGTTAAATGAGTTATTCTGCATTTTAACAGAAGTCTGGATAATGTGCACACAGACAGTCTTGTGTTGAGTGATGTTTACTCTGTTGCATGCAGGTTTGAAGGGGGCCGCTGCAATGAGAGGGTCATAGTCTTCCATAGGAACTTTACAAGGGTCCCGCCCTACATAGGCTTGTTCAAACGCACCCCATAACTTTTGACAGCTGTATCTGAAAAATAAATGACAGTGCTGCTTAGTCTCAGGAATGTGGATCAGCGTCATCCTGGTGGAAAAAGTGTTGGTGCCAGGCTGTGTTGAAGTAGTTCATTTACTAGATTACTGACAAACTTGCTAGTTTGCAGCAGCGGGGCATTTTCTCCAACCCTTGAAAAAAGAGAAACTATTTCAAGTAGGGATTTATGGTCAAGAAGCACCAGTCCATATTATTCGTTAATATTGGCCTAATTATGATTCATAATGCATAGAAATATTATAGTGCTTGTGGATCAGCCTCATTCTGATGGAAACCCTTTACTGACAAACTAGCTAGTTTGCATTTAACAGAAAGGGAAACAGGGTGTGTACTCCCTCACTTGAACATAAAATTGCTGTGCATTTCAATCTTAATTACTTTTAATTTACTCTGTAATCTTTAATCTGTTGGTTTTATTTATTATGTGAAGCACTTGTTTTTGTGAAAGTGATTTCTAAATAGTTGACAGGAGTAGCTACTCATGGTTGAAATGAACAGTTGCCCTATATGTCCTATTATATTTCCAGTCATTAGTGGCACAATTAAAATGAATAAAACTGTAAAGTGCTTTAGGTAGAGCTGGGAAATAAAACAATAATTAGAATTACTACAATATAATTTTTGTCAATAACAATCAAACAAATGTTCAATAAATGTTGATTTGAATCATGAACACATAGCACTTCATTTTTCTATTAAGATATTTATTTTGTTCAGGAAAAGTGAAAGATTTAACTTTATTTAACACATGCATATTTTTGGAAAAAAGATTTTATCACAGTTGTTTTGAATGTTCTACCTCAGATTTGTTAAGTGATCCACTGTTTGGCATAAGGTGTTTGTCATGTTTTGACCATTAAGAATAGTTTAAAACCACAAGTAACCATCTGGTTACTTCAAATTTCACTCAGGAGAAAAAAAAACTTCAAACTGAAAGAAATACTGACATTTATGGTGATAATTTTGTTTTTTATTATTATTAGCTGTAGGTAGTGGACAGACACTAACAATGTACAAACCTGTAAGAGTGCAGAAAAGAGGCCAGTCAATTAATAATCACTGACTGATACCAGACAGACCAACTCCAGACAGAACTTCAACTTTAGCATTAAATTTACATTCAGACATTTCTATTCAATTTAATTGGACTTTATTTGCATGGGCACAAAACCAAAGCAACTCTGTCTGCATGACTCTGCACTATTGTTACACCCCTCACACTGTTTCAATAAAGAAGTGAATCACAGGTACCTGCCAAGATTACTGAAGCTTGCAAGTGAGTACACACTGTAGCTCCCATTCAGTGAATCACAACTTCTGCATTTTGCTTTCTAGAGGTTGTGAGTTAACATGCACTCAGTTTCCAATTCATTAGGCATAGCTCAAAGTAACACGCTCTAATGTAAGTGTCTTAGAGAGGTGTTCATTCAACGTTTGGGGGGATGTAGTGAAGGTGCAGCTGTACTGCATAATACAGAGAGGTGTTCCTGTTATTTAGTCTACCATCTTTGACAAAATAATAAAACACCTGTTAGTATAAAACAGTACAGCTCAACAGCAGCACAAACTATTCCCTTTCATAATCATCATGAAGTTTATTGAATTAACACCAGAGTGTTTATGCTAACTTACTGCAACATGTATTTATTATTTCACATAGTCTATCTTAAATTACAATATTACTAATGTAATTCTTTTCAGTCTTCAAGTTGTGAGAGGAAGCTCTGTCGCTTTGGTATAGGCTACATGACATTCCCTTAATACAAAAATAGAAACGCTTACCCTTTGAACTTCTCACACCTAGAAATAAACGTTGTTTTGAGATGGTCTGTTCCCTGGTGGAGTGCCAGTCCCAAAGCAACGGCGACGACAGCAGTTATAAGAAAGACAGCGACACTTAAAATAAGGTAGCATCTCCTCCGTTTCTTCTGCGGAGGACGATCCTCTCCAGTCTCCATGTGAAAGCAGAAAAACTGAAACCAGTCAGCGGACGTGTGGGTGCCCAACTGTTGTTGATGTCGCTGGCTCCTCACACGTGCTCGGACGTCTATTTATGGAGGGGCGAGATCACTGTGCGCTCGTGCACTGGCTCATGGACTAGTAGGCTCGGCTCCAATAAGGACTCTTATCGGTTGTGGTGAAGCTGCCCAAACTGAGGTCCGAGGACCGCAACAAGGCCGGTAAGCAGCGGTGGAAAGTTGGCCTACAATAGGCCTACATTCAGTGTCAACAAAAACTCAACTAAAGGTAATTATTAATAGGTTAGTCAACTGTCTGCCATTAGGATAAAACACCATCACTTTGTTGTGTGTAACAGTGTGTAAATCATGAAGTTATACAATTTAATTAATTGTATTAATTTCATCAGGTGCCTATCACGTCTGTCTGCCTGACCGCTGGCTGCCAGCAGCTACACTTCCCCTTTGTCCTTGCAACTATAACTTCCACTGTCTTCATCTGCACTAGAAAAACAAAAAGGGCAAAAAAAGCGAGCACACCTGTTACTTTGTGGTGATAACAAGCTGTTGACCAGATTTCCTGTAGTCTCCCTGCTGTGTGCACCTCCAAAAGAAAGATCGAAGGATCAATATTTGATGTTTTATTAAGTTGTAATCAAAACTCAGCTTAAATCAAATTTTCAAACAGGACAAATGTTACAATTGTGTAGGCCTACTTGTACTGAGAATTGATGTTTTAGGAAGTAGGCCTTTTCAGTTCTCAGTAATATCCTGGGAACATACACGGAAAATTATATCATTATGATTACTCATGCATTAATATAATTGAATAAGCAAGGATTTGCCAGAGCCATTGTTTGTGGTGTTTAAAGTTGACTGCTCCTATTATTTAATCTTTTTGTATCAGGAATGTAGGTCAATGGATATTTAAACTAAGGGCATGTTGGGTAAAGGCCATGCAATTAAATGCTAATCAGCTACTGAAAGATGGTGGTGGGTGATAATTTAAATTAAGGTCATGGAATAGCCATCAATATTAAACATGTTGAAAAATGCTACAGACTTTTGAGAAGAAAGCAGAAGAATCAAAAAGCTTAACCACTGAAGAGGTTCCTCATATCTGTTTCGCAGGATGTGTAATGACATAATGATCCAATAACACAGGTAACAAATTCAAGTACTGTACTTAACTGCAGATTTTGATTAATAATATAAAAATGTTTACTTCCTGTCATCTCTACAGTAACATTACCTTGGCCTCCAAACTCATTGATCACCTTACCGTGTAATTTGTACAGTTTTACCTTGAAACAAAAGGAAATGTTGGAAACATAAGGGAGGAAGGGGGTGTATGTAAGGGTCATTAAGAAAACACTCCGTGCTTTAATTCAGGAAATCTTTTTGAGCAGCCAGTTTTATTTAATGCACTTCACTGACATACCAGGTCTGACTACATGGAAGGTCTGTGGGTGATTTAGTTAAGTGTGAGGCTCCTTCTGCGTAAGAGGCTGTCTGAACATATTTGGCAGGAGGACTCTGTGGGGTTGTGGATGCACTGAAGGATCATCAGGGTCCTGTGGACAGTTATAATCTCTGTTACTCCAGGGTACTTTTGTCAAGAAGTAGAGGTTCATCACGTCTGTATCAAGTCTCACACTTAATCTGTCAGCATCTGGTCACAAAACACTTCTACGTGCAAACAACCTACTGTGGCATTTAATTTGGAGGACTCGTTGAATATCACTTACTGGTCGTTGTCTGTGCAAGTCCAGCGGAAACCTCTTGAATGGAGGATCTGGATCAAATCTACAATGGATCCTTCACTACATGATTCTCTATAGAAGAAAAAACAAGGTACTTGATTTGTGGATATACATGTTAACCACTTTCCAATAAGTTACCATTTATAAAGGGTTTACAAGCTGTAGTTTATAACAATATTATCAATGGCTGATAATGATACTTTACAGCAATTATTTAAAACAACTCTTGGGTTGCCAGGGCAGAGTTCAGCCCAGACAAAACATAAGAAAACATTTATTTCAACAGAAACAGTGGTGCCTTCAACACCCTGTTGTGTATGCAAGCGCAATGCACTTTAGTTCCTTTTTAATATGGCTGTGTTTATATACACATCGCTGCTGATTGGGTGACACCTCTCTGACACATTCAACAAACATGCCTCAAAGCCCGTTGGGCGCCGCTGCATACCGTTTCGAGGAGACATGTCGTTCAACCTGGAAACAGTAGCAAAACGTTTTGAGATTGAACTTGCCCCAGGTTTAGAAAAATCTCTCAAGCAGGTGTTCGTTCTTCCTTTTGGGTTATAATTTAATTCAGCTCAGCTATATTATCATCATACAGGCATACAATGAAAGATATTGTTATTTAAGGACAGAGAAGTCATAAATGTTAGTAATCTGTTAATGGGTAACTTTGGTGAGTTTGAAGTCATGAATGTTAAAAAAGACACCTTTGCTTTGGAGGAACCTGCCGTTTTTGCAACCTGGCACCCAAAAGTTGTTTTTATTCACCGCTTATAACTGCTCCATAAAGCACTGATATGAAATCATTAGTTAGTGATTAGCTTCATTTACAAACCCTTAATAAAAAGTATCGTCTTGGAAAGTGGTACTGATTTATCTGAAAGCAACATTCTACTGTAAAACCAAGTATCAGCTGTTTTAATCCTCACATGAAGGGTCCCCCTAGATTGGTCACCACCTTTATATTGACATAATCCACCCTGGCTGGGTTCAGACCGTCCAGCTCAACACTCCCAAACATGCTGTAAGATTAAAAAAGATGTTATGCAAAAAAGATTAAACACCATTGATAAAAATATTTGCTTCATTCATAAAATTTTTTTTTTTACCTTTTCCTATTGAAGGCGTTGACAATAGACCCATTCAGTAATACAGTGATGTTGCCACATGCCATTTCTGCAAACTAACAAATGAGCACAGAAAATCACATGAGAGCAATATTCCACTGCTGCTTTAAAATGAGTGTGTTGCACATAAAGGATAAACAACACAGCTGTGTGTTCTTTATGTGCAACAGTGCTGAAACATTTGGACATTAAACTCACGCTTTGTGAGGCTTGCCTCCACAAGGAATACACTGGATGATTTCTACATGCTGACCACTCGGGGACAAGAACTGAAATCAAAACCTGTGTGTCAAATTCACAGCTGTCAGTTAAAATAAGCAGACAAATAGATAATAAAAAAACAAACGTGTTGACAGGCATCACTCAGCACTATAAAGGCAAAACATTTGGGAGTGCAGCTGCCTGGATTTGAATCCCTGTGCTACCAAGTTTCTTAATCGTAATCACTTTTCCCAATGAATACACTTTTTCTTATTAAGATTGTAAAAGAATGGTTCAGGAGATTGGTGTATATTATTGGTAAGTTGGCATATACAGTGTTAACTTTTAAGTTGTTATTGCGAACTTGTTGAGAAACTGTTGCCCTTTTACACATCCATCAAATACTGGGCAACATTAGTATTCATTTGCCAATGAGAATATTTACTCACTTTTAGCTCTGCTTTTATTTTCCACCGACTCCTGAGGGAAATAACTGGCTCTTTAGCTGCTAAATGCTCCACCAACTATAGACGCTACCTGTGTTTGTCTGCCCTGTAAAACTTTTTTAAAGCATTTTCACTGAAAATGGCTGCCTGCTGCTGCTTTATATTAAGTTGTAAGATTGTAAAACCAAAACATTGAGCTGAAAGACGCTAAAACGCTCTGTGGAACTGCAGAGTCAAGTGATCTGTGGGCATTATGAGCGATCCCTGTCATATTGAATTCGATCAATTGTCAATATAAAAATATGGATTAGTGCAGCTTTAAGAAACGGAAATGTTTTTTTCCCAGTGTCTGCATTTTATCATAATTTGGCAACAGCTGTAAATATACAGTATATTCCTGTGCCAACATCTTGTTAACTTTTACAGAGGAGCAATAGAAAGCATCCTGACTGGAAATATCTGGCATGGGATGAGCCAGGTCAGGTCAGGTCAGGTGGGCTCTTCAGCGGGTCATTAAAACCACTCAGAAGGTCAGTGGTACCCATCTACCGAGCATCAGTGATATCGGTGAGGTGAGGGGCCTGTGCAGAGCCCAAAGGACAGTTTTTTCGGTATATAATTTTATAATTTTTGTATCTAACATTTGCTTTGTAGCATAAAGGGAACTACAAACTGGATCTCATTTTACAACCCTGCATGTGGCAAATACATTTACCTTGTGTTCAGATAATGTCATATTTCGTGAATGTGGTTAATTACAACATAAATTAATGTGGGAAAATTTATATCATATGGTCATATGGTAAGAAGTCTATATCAATGATATCTCAAATGAGCTGAAAATAACATATTAAACTTAATAACTCATTAGTTAATGACTCAGTGACAGGAAATGTTATATCAATGAGTTAGTTACTGCAGTGTTTCCCAACCTGGGGGTCAGGACTCCTTCCAGGGTTCACAAAATAAATCAGAGGGTTTGTGTGATAATTAATTGGACTGGAAAGAAGAAAAGTGTTGCTCTGCCCTTTTTTCCTCAGACTTTTCTCTAATCTTTGCTTTTTTTCCTTGTGAATGTCTTTGAGCCAAAGAGCTTGAGAACCACATGGAATTAGTACAACCATGTTTCAATTGTCTCTGTCTTGTTAAAACCAGAAAAGACGTAGCCTACCGGAGTCTTCCTCTTGTCCACACCAGATGAGGTCGTTGAACATGTACCCAGCCAGTGTGTCCTCCAGGGTCCAGAAGTGACGTACAACAGCTGCGTAGCTGTGCATCAGTGTCCTGGTTTTACTCCAGAAGAGGAACTGAACAGAAGGAAAGGGAAATATACAGAAGCTTAACTGAAAGAGTTTTCATCTAATGAGGTATCAGTGAAGAATGCTGAACATATCTCTAATGTGGGAGCTAACATCTCCCTCTTGCTCACCCTATCACAAGGCCGGGTTTGTGGCATTGCAAAAAACATCTGATCGTAATCCTCCACTGTCACATTACACGACGACTGACCGACAACCGCCTCCTCAAACTGTCTCCAGATGTCCTCACAGTCAAACCTGTAAAGATGAAATATATCTTTATGTTTTTTTTTTAAGGAAACAGCGATCAATCAATGAATCAATAGTCAGATAATTAGTTGATTAATTGTTAAATATACCATAATTCAATTGTTTCAGTTTCTCAAATGTGAATATTTCCATTCTTAGATTGTTGAGTTAGTTTTCTGCTATTGTAAACTGAGATATCTTTGTGTTTTGGACTCTTGTGGGACAAAACAAGACATTTAACGAAGTCACCTTGGGCTCTGGGTCAAGTCAGACGTCAAGAACTAAAGCTTGGGTTTCAAGACCTAAACAAGTCATAATATGCTCTTTGCGAAATTCAATGGCATTTCAAAACATGAACACAAATACCATTAGTTGGTAGATTATTGAAATGTAAACCATGAAAGCCTCACAGCCTTTGGGATCCTAGAATTTCCATAAAATAAAACGTGTTTTCATACAAAGCACATTGGTACATGCCCCAGTTCCACAGTAACCATCTTTGTCTCAATTTCTTTCCACAGAACCACAGAAAAGAAAAAAGACTCATTCAACATCACATCAAAATGAGTATTACCGCCCTGCACGTGGGCTTTAATTCTGATTTGCCTGATACTGTGCTTGGTCTTTAATATGCTGCTAGAGCTAAAGTTATTCTGCTTTGGGGTTCAAGTCTTTCACGTTTTGAGGCTGAAGTCGCTGGTTTTAAAGTCAAAGGTCAGTGATTGTGTGTTATGACTCCAGTATAACTCATCAGTACATTACCTCAAGCTTGGGTTAACCAGTGTGATGTAATTGTAACACCTTCCAACCACAATGTGTTTAATGTTGGGGGTAGTCCCAAGCCGCGCTCTCAGTTGACCAGGGCAGACCAGCAGCATAATAAACCCTTTCAAAAGGACACAAAGATAGAAGAAAGAAGTCATTATCTATCTAAATTGGGACGGACACATAAAAAGACAGAAAAAACTGCATGTCAGGTGGAATTACGTACATACTGTCAGGCTGATCGTTACAAAGGGCGCGGATGTTTTTGGCGAGCTCATGATAGTGAGACCCCGCGACGCTTCACTGCACTTCAGAAAACATGCGTGTTTGTACATGCTTTCATCCGGATTACTGTAGATAAACAACGAACAACATTTTCTATCAGTTTTGAATGTTCTACCAGGCCAGCAGATACTTTCCTGGGGTCCTCACAAGGAGTTTGTTTGTTGCTGCGTGACTGAAATCTAATTTTCTTGTGGCATGAACAAAACTTCACCCCGCATTTTAAAAGAGCTGTGAAACCGTGAAGCTTTTCAAACACCCTCCAGGAGATTCTTGCACATGATGACCTTTAGAAAACAATAAATCTCCCGGCATTTCAAGGAGATACACAAAAGATACACTTTCTTTGTTTAATTAGTCTTTAGCACATGCAATCATTAAATACCGTGTGAATAAAGATGCACACATGCCCAGTTTTGTAATTCAGTGACAACATAAGTAAATTCTCACCATTTGCCATGCAGAAGGTTAAATGACAACAAATGGCTTCATAGTCGTGATGTTGAATGCTCTGCTCAGGTCAGATTCCTACTCAAATGGAGTCTCGTTGTGGTGTGATCTGTCCTCAACCATCCCCTCAGGACTAATTGTTGTCATACCCGGTCTTCATAGGTCGACTAACACAGCTCCATCCCAACCCACAGAGACATTCTTACAATGTTTTTTCCAGCCTCCTCTTGGGAAGAGATCCACATGACTCTTATTATGCCGCCATTAAGAATCTCCCGACATAAAGTGTGTGCTGTTCTATGGGACCTGGTGCCATGACAGGCTGAAGGAAGAAGTCTATGTTGCTGTTTTGTGTTACTGGACACAGGGCGATGTGTACGTCTCAAAAGCAGCCTGCAGTATTATGTTGAAGATAGTACATAGATGTTATTATGTGAAGAAGTCGCGGGTGGAAGGCAGCTAGATCAGGTTTTTCTGTCAAACATGAGAACATGAAACTGTTCATCAGTGTGACAGATATGTATCCTGGAGGTTCAAAGCAATTTTCATATCTCATAAAAGGTCGTCTTTCTTCTATTTCCATATCTGTTGCTCATGTTCAATTTACTGCAAATAACTTTACTTTTAATAACTTTAATTATTTTTTGGTAAAATTTTTAATGCAGGACTTCCAATTGGCTATTATTCCATTGTGGTACTGATACTTTCACCTTAAAAAAGAGGACTTGAACACTGACTCCAACTCCTAAATGAACTTACTTATATAATACTTTCTTTTAGCTTACTGTACAGGTTTTACATTTGCTTTGTTCCCTCTAAGCAGACTGTGCATTCTCAATATTAGACCTACCTGAGTGCATTTTGCAGTAACCTGGGAAGATTCATGCATATTATTAGTATGTAAAATAAAGAATCACAGTGACCAGTCTTGTTCCCCTTTACCTGGAACTTCTTGTCAGGTTGTGACACAAAATGAAGAGAGGATGCATCACTAACATCTAGTGTTTTCATAATATCACCAATTTTCCAAAAGGGGCATGCTGAAATTAATGGTGCATTTCCAAACTATAGTAGAGCATGACGTAAACAGACGTCCACAGGAGGTCTGAGTGACCTTTGCTCACTTGTACACTGACTAACATGAAGGACTTTCCATCTTAACACAAGATCAAACACTTCTTTACTTTGGTTTTTTCTTTACTTTGGTTTTGTGCTAATATATGTAGCATCCAAATAAAATCTGTCATGAGTCCAAAAGAGTCTTTAGGCAGTTTCATGTTATGTAATTTGTCAACAAATTGCTCTCAAATTGTGATTGCCTGAGTGTGATTCTCATTATACTGCCTGTTGCCAGACTTCTCATTAACTGCTGAAAGAAAATTAATTTCTGACACCGCTTTGGGACATAAAGACCGTCTGAGGTTAAATCTGAAAGACAGTATGGATGAGATGGCACCCTCGTTTTTAAAGCTAACTTCATGTTGCACAGCAGGACTGAGCGTCTCTGGAATGGTCGAGCGTACAAGCACAAAATGCTGATAGATAGCTGAATAGAGCCTCAAAGAACATGAAGCCAAAATCTGATTCAGACCTTACAGAACCAGCCCTACTGACAAACTGAAATATGCTTATATGGACTTTTTGTGAAATTTACTTTAATAATTACTTTAGTATAATGTACTGACGGTGCAATATCTTGCCATTAGGGGAAGTTTATGCATAATAAATGCAAAATGATTACCTAAACGCTACTTCCTTTTGTGATACATTCACAACTCAAAACTCTAGTTCTAGTTCTAATAGTTCCCATAGATGCAGGTAAGGTGGAGAAAATCTTTCTAATTTCATGACACTGCCAATCTCTATGTCTGCTGTTAAGATACTAAGAGCATTTACCATTTGAAAAACAAGTATATTTAAACAGCAACAATAACTGTCATTAGTTGAAACATGAAGGAAAAATGTATAAGCAGGCCGGACGTAATATTTAATTTGCATTATTATTTTGCAATTTGGTGCTCTTTTGATTTCAGGTGATTTTATTTGCCCAAGAGATGTAGTTTTTAAAAGATATTAAACAGGGGTATTAGTTGCAATCAAAAGAGTTATATGTTGGCTCTGTGTCGAGTTGAAGTACCACAAAGCTTTTGCCCAATGTTGCATTGTTCTCTGACCTGTTCTCATAAACTGAGAGCTGAAGTATTGCCCTTTAGTGGAATCAGTTCCTAGTTCTAAGATAAGGCTGCAACCAACTAGATAATGAAAAATTCCCCTCACAAGTCACCCAGCGCTGCATGATGACTCCTTAAGTGTTTTATGTGACCAGCAGCCACAAACAAAAACAGAATATATGTAATGCAGAAAAGCAACCAATTACTTCAATTTGTGAAGCTGTAACCAAGTAAATGTTTTGAATTTTATTTCACTATAATGAACAAAAGTCCCTTTGTAGTTCTTTGATAAATGTTAACTCAACTTGAAAACAACACTTGAAGTTGCCTGCAGCACTAAAACCCCTTAAACCAGGGATTTTCAAAGTTTGAGACTGTCGGCCTCCCCTCAGACAAAGTTTGGAAAATGGCATCCCCTCACCCCCCTTTGTTTACTTGGTTAGTTTCTCTCAAGTCTTAGATGCCTAAGGGTTCATGACTATGTTATTTGATTATACTCAACAATTGAGCCAAGCTAACCTAATAATGCTGTTTGACATAACTTCAGACTACACCAAATACATAAAAAGAGGTCTTTCCTGAAGCATTTGCTGTTTCTGACTCGGAACAGCTGGGAGCCGCCCTGTGGAGGCCCACCTCCCACTTTCAAAACCTCTGCTCTACACAACATCATGTTTGACTTGTGGCAACACAGTTGTGTATTACAGTGTTGCTGCTGCCACCTTGTGGCCTAAATGTATAAGCAGCGCTTGTATGATTATTATAAGTGCTAGAGGTGGCCAAACTTTTTAAACCAAAGCATCACATCATAGTGATATTTTTTGTCATGGCACCCATCCATGCCCTCTCATACAATATACAAACATACATGCAAAATTCACCTCAAGGATACCTAAAAAACTAACAAGCTTGAGGTAAAGTAGGTTACATGGGTGAATTCATGCAATTATTAAGTGAAATACTACTGGTGTCTGAGAGAAAATTTGCTGCTTTAGACTACGTTGCTGTTTCAATCTGCAGATAAATACTAAACTTAATGTAAAAAATGAATAAAGCGTTGAGGGTTAAGATACATTGTCATTTCTTTGAGGACATAACAGAATCAATACATTGTGATTTTAATGTTTATTTCTTAGTTAGTCCATTTTGATGTTTTAAAAACTTAAAATATAGTTATTGTAAATGATGTGCCATCATTTTTTCTAATGTGGTGAAAGTGGCACCGACTCATCCTTTAAGGCACTACTCTTTGGGAACCATGGAGCTCCACAAAGTTATGAAAGTCCAGCCATGAAACCTGTATTGAAGCCATTCATAATTTCAGACCTTTCAAATGAAAAAGTTTCCATAATTATAAAACTCAAAGGCTGGATAAAGAGCCTCTGTGAATGTAATCTACACTCTGTGGATGACAACTACCCAGTTACAGACGCTGGGGACATGTCCCCACCACATTTTGAAATCGCTGATTTTGTCCCTATCACTTCTTGAAAGCATTTAAATGTTCTGAAAGATAGCTTGCACCAAGAAATGTTAACTAACAAATGAAAATAGATTGGGTCCCAACCCCCAATAACAACAAGACCTTACGGCACAGAATCACTCAACATAAGATCACAACCAAGCTGGACCCCCAAGTACAACGACCAAGACTAAGTGACAAAGTACCCTCTGAAAGTCTGCTAGAAGATGTGAATGCAGGACTACATACTATCCTTACTAAAGCCATAACCGAGAACAATGTACGCCACAGCAACAGTGATCCTAGAGATGCTTGGCTATAAGATGAACACCACAAGCCACAAAGAGCATTATACCCCATGGAGGAGAAGGCTAGAGGCCAAGATCAAGGCAACACAAAGAGAGGTTAGTCAGCTGTCAGAGCTACAGGAAGGTGCAAGGAAAGGGCTACCTAAGAAATACAACAAGATGCCGATACCTGAGGCTCGGGAGAAGCAGAAGCCAGGAGAGTAAACCGGATGTTCTCCACCAAACCATCCAAAGTGTACTCTCAGTGGAAGGGTAATAACACAAGATCAGATCCACCCAGGGCTGAGACTGAACAGTACTGGAAGAACATATGGGAGAAAGAAGCATCCCACAACACCAATGCTCAGTGGCTAGTGGATCTAAGAACAGATCACAGCATCTCCCAGAACAAGATCCAGTAAATGTAAATGCTCCGTATGTGTATAGCGCCTTTCTAGTCTTTTTGACCACTCAAAGCGCTTTTACACTACATCTGCATTCACCATTCACACACATTCATTCACTGAGCCAAAGTGCTCAAACAGTAACTAACATTCACACACATTCATACACTGGCGGAACAGCCTCCAGGGGCAATTCGGGGTTCAGTGCCCAAGGACACTTCGACACGCCGCCTGGAGGATTAAGCTGCCGACCTTCCAATTAACGGGCAACCCGCTCTATCTCCTGAGCCACAGCCGCACCAAGATCAACAGTGACCATTACAACGTCAGACATCCAAGAAAGAGTGGCAGGTATGAAGAGCTGAACAGCACCAGGCCCTGACATGATCCACACCTACTGGCTGAAGAAATTAATTGCACTCCATGAACGCCTGACAGCAGAAATGAACCAACTTCTGATGGATGGGACCCAGCCAGAATGGTTAAGGATCCACAGAAGGGAACAATCCCATCCAACTACCGGCCAATAACCTGCCTCTGCACAACATGGAAGCTCCTGTCAGGTATCATAGCAGCTAAGATGAGTACGCAAATGGCTCAGTACATGGACAGGGCCCAGAAGGGAATGGGCAGTAATACCAGGGGAGCAAAGCACCAGCTACTGGTTGATAGAGCGGTCACTCGAGACTGCAAGACCAGGCAGACCAATCTGTGCACCACCTGGATTGACGACAAGAAAGCCTAAGACTCACTGCCACATACATGGATACTGGAAAGCTTGGAAATGTACAAGATCAACAGGACACTAATAGCCTTCATCAAGAACTCAGTGGGGCTGTGGAAAACAAGTCTGGAAGCCAACTCAAAGCTAATTGCACCAAGTCACTATCAAGTGCGGCATATACCAAGGCAATGTTCTATCCCCACTGCTGTTCTGCATAGGCCTGAACCCCCTCCGCCAGATCATCACAAAGACTGGCTACGGATACCGGTTCCGAAGTGGAACAACCATCAGTCACCTCCTCTACATGGATGACATCAAGCTGTATGCCAGAAATGAGCGAGACATCGACTCACTGATCCACACTACCAGGATCTACAGCGATGACATTGGAATGTCGTTCGGACTGGACAAGTGTGGTCGCATGGTATCAAAAAAAGGGAAAATTATCAGAACTGAGGGGATTGAACTACCAGAAGGCCACATTGCAGATGTTCAGGACAGCTACAAATACCTTGGGGTGCCGCAGGCTAACGGAAAATCCAGGAGTACATCAGGAAGATGGGGCCCAAAGATGAAGGGCTTAGTGAATACCTCAGGCAGCAGAAACCCGAAGGTGAGGACAAGGAAGATGAAGAACCTGGGAGAAACTGGGAGAGTGGCTACAGCAGATTCCAGGTAAAACATCAGAGGTCTCTGTCCAGAAGAGTGCAGTCCTAGGAACAGCTAAGATATTGCGCAGAACCATCAAACTCCCAAGCCTCTGGTGGAGGACCCAAGCTTGAGGATGACACATACCACCCCACAGGGGTGAGAGGGGGATATTTATATTCATATTCATACTGTACATAGCCTATATATAATCTGATGAGTGAAGCTTCTTCCTGGTGATGTGCTGAGCAGTTTTCACCACCCTCGGTAGAGCCATGGGCATTGCAGTGATGCAGCCAGTCAAGATACTCTCAGTGTTGCACCTAGTGGTACATGAGGTATTTAGGTCTTTTACTTAAGTTAAAGCACTAATACCTCACTGTTAAAATACTCTTACAAGTAAAAGTACTACATTGAAAATTTTACTTAAATCAAACTATGTAAGTATGATCAGGAAAATATACTTAAAGTATTAAAAGTGAAAGTAGGC